CCCAACGGGGGGGTTTATTGGTGAAAGGCCCAGGGACAGGAAGGCAATCCCAAGGAAAAGCCCGGAGCGAAAAAAAGTCTATGAATACCCCCCCCCCCCCCCCCCCCCCCCGGAAAATACTCACTACCCCTCCACCGAGATCGACAGCTCGCTTATTCGCATTCGCCTTGTGCTCAGGTCTAAAAGTGTGCCTCGGCCGACTCCGTTCTAATTCTATGACCTGCGAAGTTGGCATTGGTCAATGAGAGACCAGAATCCAAGTTTGACGCATTTTCCAGGGCATTGCATTGCAAATAGCGCTTTGCTAGACACAATGACATTCTCTTGGAAACTTTGCCAATCTTGGAAGCCTAGCCAAGAGTCTCGGTTTCGCTTGCATAATGGAAGTCATAGGAGGATTCCATGCAGTTGAGATCCATGAACTATTTCAATAGACTCATTTCGCGTCCGGTTTAGTGAATGATCTGTGCGAAAGGGATCTAATGGGATCTAATAGGATTAACGTGGGTCCCGTTAATTTGAATTCTACGAGATTTGTGTGCACTTGTAGGAGTAAAAGATATGATCTCCACTTAAATAAGGGCTGGTGGAGGGTTTCAATTGGAAGGCAAGGGAGACACTCGTGTCCCTCGATCGCTAGTTGGCTTTGCCACGAGCTTAGTCTCCACTTTTCCAGGAGACTTTATCCTGTTTCTCGGGACTATACCTTCCACCTCTGACACTTTCAGACAGTATGTACATTGTTCGTCGCATTCTCATTAATGTGTCAAGTCCTTGAGCTTGCTATGTAGCTGTTGACATGATGATACTCAATATTCAAGTAGAATAGACAGAAAAAAGCGACCAGGCGACTGAGACATTACAGAAATTTCGCACGGGTCCTGTTGATCCTCACCTTGTTCGTTCACTCGGAAAGTTGCCCGCGATGGCGATCACCTTGGCGATCGACACCTCGATCGATCGAGGCTAGGGATTTTGGTATTGCAATGGTCATTCAGAGGTTGCTTTTAACTTCAATTTCTGCCTCTATATGGGGAGTTGAGCACCCTTGGATTTGCTTCGGATCAGGCTTCATCCATTCTCTTTCCTCATCTCTACTTTGTACCATAGTCATTCCTTACAGTCAGTCTTTCCAATCGACCTCCAACATGGCCACTAACATGGCCGACCTCACGGTCTACAACATGCCACCCTCACCCCCGAACTGGGATCGGGTAGGTGTATTCTATATTTCATTCTGTGTCACCTGGACCGCACTTCTGATCGCAGGAATGATCTTCTGTGTAATCAACCACCGCGTCCCGATCCTGAGAGTCCGCGGCCTACCCCTCAGCTTTTCGGCAATTATACTACTCCATGTATACTGGATTCTAGGCCAGATTACATACCCCATTGGCGCAACTATGCCTACAGTGCTGGCATACGACGTTCAGTACTTCGGTATGGGCGTCTACTTCCCACTGGGAATTGCGCTGTTCCAAGCTTCCAACCTTCGCTTCCTCCATGTCGCCAGAACCCAGAAACAACAATTCGCCAGCTCGGAAACTCGAACCAGAGCACACTGTAACGGTGCTGACTCCTCGTGGCTGTGCCGCCTACGGAACATGGATTATATGAAGAGGACCTTGACTTTCATTGGAATTGGAATGGTCATCCAGGTATGCATTGGTGCCAAATTGTGACCTCAAATTCTAATCAACCTCAGTTCCTCATCACCCTCGGCATGTGGTTCGCTTGCGCAAAGTACCACCCCACCTATGGCATTCCGGGAACAGAGATCCCAGAAGGGCTTCTCCTTCCAGAGCAGATTGTGTTCCTTGGCCGAGGATGGGAGTGGTGGCCATCCATGCTTTGGCAAGTCATTTGGACATGGATTGTGAGTGAATCCGACTTATCGACTAAAAGTGTACCTACTAACACACCATGGGCTATAGGCTGCGCCCATCCTTATTTGGAAGGCTTGGGGAATCCGTGATACTATGGGATGGCGTACCCAGACAATCGCGTGCTGTCTTTCCAGGTATGTCGCTTTTGAATCAATGAGAGGAATTTGACCAATCTGACATCCCTCGACAGTCTCCACGCCACCCCAATGTTCTTGATCGCATCATATGTGCCAACTTTCGCCAAAGTCAATGTTTACTTTACTCCAAGCCAATGGTGAGTATCATCTGCGTGTACAGAACAAGCATATACTGATTAGCTCCTCAGGATTCACCTTTCCATCATGATGTGGGAGATCTGCACTGTCTTTATCCCTATCTTCGAGGTGTTCAAGCTGTGGTCAGTCGAGAGAAAAGCAAAGAAGTCAATGGCGAAGTATGACTCGAACGCAACCATCATCGAGACATCACCTTCTGCGAAGTGGAACAACGAGTCATCGTCTACTCTTGCCGAAAAGACCCAGTCAGTCGTGTCTTTCGACAGCCAAAGCGACCGTTTGTACACTATGGATGCTCTCGAGCATGTGCTGAGCAAGAACGCGATCCAGCTACAAGAGTTTGCAGCAGTAAGCGATTTCTCCGGTGAAAACATCGCTTTCCTAAGTGATCTCGGGGCATGGAAGTCCCGCTGGTCTGATATTCCCGATGCCAAGGCCCGATCCAATGCATTCAACGAGGCATTATGGATCTACGTAGACTTCATCAGCACACAAGATGCCGAATTCCCTCTGAACCTCTCCTCGAAGAGTCTCAAGCAGATGGAAGCCATCTTCGAGAAGCCTACTCGCACATTACTCGGAGAGAAGAAGGTTAACCACACTTCACCATTCGAAGCTGATGTCTGTTCCACGCCTCTGCACGAAGCTATCGCTGACCGCGGCACCTACACGGGCGAGGTACCCGCCGACTTTGACTTGGGGGTCTTCAATGGTGTTCAAGACCATATCAAATATCTTGTCTTGACGAACACTTTCCCCAAGTTCTTGGATTCAATGCGACGACGCTCAACAGACACGGAGCGTAGTGACTTCTCGGGTGTTTCAGATTCTTCTATGACCAGTTGGATCTCAAAGCAGCGTATGAAGCTGCAGTCATTCATTTAAAGACCTTCAGGGCTGGCTGAAATGAACAAGCCGCCTTTATTGGATTTGGAAAGTTTCAATCTTTATCTCATTTATCTGCGAGCAACAGGCTCCATGCCCAGCAATTACTTTCATGTCTATAATTATGTCTATACATACTTACGTTTCAACTTGATTGATTGAATTTTTTTTTCTTTTGCGGGTCTACCTTGGCTTCAGGACGGGCGTTGATAGGTTCTCAGGCCGGGACTCCGTTGAACCGGGTGGATAACATTCGGCGACTTTTTTTTTTCTGCTTTACAATATTGAACTCCATTGCCCTAGCAAATGGCCTATCGCGGGTATTTTTCATAGGACGTGCGTGCGTGGCAAAGCGGGATCTGAAATTCCTCGGCTTCTTTTCACCTCGAATTCTCAGTATAGACCCGAAGGGTAATTGAAAAAGTCTCCAGATGATAAATCAACGCCTCAATCTCTCCACAATACAGAAATACATAAATCCTAGCCTTATCCCCTTGCTGAATGATCAAAATAAACAATAATTCAATAATCAATTGCCAATACTTCAAAATGACTTGGCCCGACGTCGCCGCGAAGCCCGCTGAGGGCATCTCATACTTCACCCCTGCCCAAAGCCCCCCAGCAGGCACCGCCCGCAACCCTCAGACAAATGGCAAGCCAATCCCCAAGCTTTTCAAGCCTCTGACCGTCCGCGGCGTGACATTCCAGAACCGCCTGGGTCTCGCCCCCATGTGTCAATACTCCGCAGAGAACGGAAAAATGACAGCCTGGCACATGGCGCACTACGGTGCCATCGCCCAGCGCGGACCCGGAATTATGATTATCGAAGCTACCGGCGTTGTCCCCGAGGGCCGCATCACCCCCGGTTGCCTGGGTATCTGGCAAGACGCCCAAATCGCCCCGCTGAAGCAGGTCGTTGAGTTCGCCCACAGCCAGGGCCAGAAGATCGGCATCCAGCTGGCTCACGGTGGCCGCAAGGCTTCCACCGTTGCACCTTGGTTGGGTGGTGTGGTCGCCAATAACAACTCTGGTGGCTGGACTGATAATGTCAAGGGTCCTAGCGCGATTCCCTTTGCAGAGGGTGACCCCATGCCCAAGGAGATGACTGAGGATGATATTGCCGAGCTCAAGGCCGCCTGGGTCGCTGCTACTAAGCGCGCTCTCGCTGCCGGTTGCGACTTCATCGAAATTCACAGCGCCCACGGCTACCTTCTCTCATCGTTCCTGAGCCCTTCATCTAACCAGCGTACCGACAAGTACGGTGGCAGCTTCGAGAACCGCATTCGCCTCCCTCTTGAAATCGCTCAGTTGACACGCGAGACTGTCGGCGAGGAGGTCCCCGTCTTCCTCCGCGTTAGCGCCAGCGACTGGGTTGAAAGCGAGAAGGGCTGGAAGCTCGAAGACACCGTCCAATTCGCCGAAGCTCTCGCCGCACAGGGCTGCGTCGACCTGATCGATATCAGCAGTGGTGGCGTACACTCCGCTCAGAAGATCACTTCCGGAGCCGGATTCCAGGTTCCTTTCGCCGCGGCTGTCAAGAAGGCTGTTGGTGATAAGATGTTGGTTTCTGCCGTTGGAATGATCAACAGTGGTACTATGGCTGAGAAGATTATTGACGAGGATGACATTGATGTCATTCTTGTTGGTCGTTCTTTCCAGCGTGATACCGGCCTTGCGTGGCAATTCGCTAAGGATTTGGATGTTGAGATCGCTATGGCGGCTCAGATCCGTTGGGGATTCACCAACTTCCGGAATGCCTCTGAGTACATTCAGCCTAACTCTATGAAGGCTTCCTTTTTTGATTAGATATAGATACCACTCGGTGACTTAGGTCCCTCGCATTGCATTATAAATATCATTGTTTTTGTTCATAGAAATGAAAGAGCTGTCAATTTCTGCAGCGCGGTGCCATCAAATTTTTAGGACTGGCAGAAATATTGCTCAGGTAGTGATCACTCTGGGCATCACTGGATGCTTAAAGTCCACGAGTGTATGCCATTTCCAGTGATGCCCCAATCCTAAGGCACCACTGTCAACAAACATGGATACGAGTATGCTTTCTCTCTCTCCTGAGGTCTCTTTTTAAGCATCATTCAAGATATATTTTTGAAACACTCTTCTCCATATCCTTAACTGCAATAAAAAACTTGCCAATAAATGCCAATCGCCGCTTCCGCACCCATATCTATTCCACTATTCCATCGATGATCAGGGTGAGTTACAATATACTTGTAGACTGTTGGGATGACCAAGAGGGTAACCAGAATAGTAGGCGGTAGTCGCCACCTGCCAAAAAAATGAATAGCACCTGCCGTAAATTGGCAGAAAGCCCAGCGGTCAATCCCAACCAACCAATCGCAACGCAGAACGAGCACCAAAAAAAAATCATCACAAATACTCCTCTTGGTCCACTCCACTGCTCCATTGAAATGAAGCAAAAAGAAACCTCCGATAGGGGGAATCGAACCCCCGGCTGTCGTGTGAGAGACGACGATGTTAGCCACTACACCATATCGGACAACGATAGGGGAAGTACTTCGGGTTTGGGTTTCTCAAGTACGGTTTAGCGCCTCCGTTCGCCGTGCGTGGCCGTGCGTGGCCGTGCGTGGCCGTGCGTCGTTGTATATCGGCCCAATGTACCCGTACATATAAGTGATGACCTTGCTGCTCAAGTGTCCTTATATCACATTGTGGCTGGAAAAGACCAAGGCGGTGAAGAGTGTATCGTACCGCCTTCTTTCGAAGGGAGCCTCAGGAAATGCCTCCCACCGAAGTTCAGCTAATTGCCTCTAGAGCTCAAGCCAATGAACACCTTGACCATATTAGTCAAGCACAACCGAACAGTGCGCATTGTTGTATTGGGTGTTCTCTTCGATCGATCAACCAGCTCTCGCGATGACATGTCACGAGGCCACCCTGCCACTCCTCCGGGGTAACACAACTTTGGAGTCAGCGCTGGAGCAAGAGGACGACATTCTCCTTGAACTGGGATTTCCAGAACAGCGTATTGAATTCTTTGTGTCACTGTACAGCAACCGTGATGATATCGAGAACATTGCATCATATCATCTCGGCCTCGGTCCTTCAGAAACTTGCCGGATTGGAGGCGTCAACGAATGGGTCCACGGCAGCTTCAATGTTTGCATTCCGCTCTATGTCAGCCAAAAAGATCAGCATCCGAATAAGCAAGCTCTCATCAGGTTCCCTTTACCCTACAAAGTTGGAGAAACTAGAAATCCTGGAAATGTTGATGAAAAACTTCGCTGCGAAGCTGCAACGTTTATCTGGATACATGAGAATTGTCCGGAAATACCTATTCCACATTTATGGGGTTTTGGACTTGTTGGTGGCCAAAGTGTATGGAAGCTCAATTAATATCGTTCTTGAGTATATGAAGTCTAACGTGTGGTTCATGCAGTTTACGAAACCGCAGAATACCCCTTTGGGGCCCAGATTTCTTTGGTCAATCAAAAGATCCATTATGTGGCTCTTGGGATATTCCCTGCCCTGTCCCTATATTTGCCATCAACGTTCGACTATGCTCGAGAGTGGGTACTTGGTTATGGATTATATTGGCAACTCAGATGTGCAAATGCTCTCAGAGACTTGGGATGAGCACCGCCATCAACGGGATAAGACAACAAACCTTTTCAAGGGACTTTGTCGCATTATGCTCTCTTTAAGTCGGGTGCCGCTACCACGCATAGGATCTTGGACCTTGGACTCGAATGGGGCTTTGCGACTATCTAATCGACCTCTCACTCTTCGACTCCATCAATTAGAGAATGGGGGGATTTCGACCAACATTAGTCGAAGTTTGACCTACTCGGCAGCGGACGCATACTATCTTGATCTTCTATCTTGTCATGATAGTCGTATACGGAACCAGCCAAACTCCGTCAGCGATGCCGATGATGGCCGGGCTCAGATGGCAAGATTAACGATGATGAGAGCACTCCTACCCCATTTCTCTAAAAGAGAACATCGAGAAGGACCGTTTCTTTACAGGCTCACAGATCTCCATCCTAGTAATATCTTCGTTGACAGCCAATGGAACGTCAAGTTTGTGATTGATCTCGAATGGGCCTGTTCACTACCAGCCGAAACTTTACGTCCTCCATACTGGTTGACCGGTCGTTCAGTCGATGACTTAACAGGAAAGCACCTTGAAGAATTCAGGGAGGCGTACGAAGAGTTCGTGGGTATTTTTGAGGAGGAAGAAAAACTCTTTCCTCCTATCAACAATGTCTCTTCTTATAGGACCACTCTAATGAGAAATGGTTGGCAAGTCGGAAACTTTTGGTATTTTCATGCCTTGGACAGCCCGAAGGGCTTATTTAACCTCTTCCGTCAACATGTTTATCCCATTTTTGCACCTTCACATCAGGTTGCTTCCGAGTTTTCGCGGGTCCTATCGGACTTCTGGGCCCCCGATGTTGAGGAAGTCATACTTGCCAAGCTCCGAGATAAGGAGGAGTATGACAAGTCACTTTGTCAATTGTTTGATGATACTTCGGACTGTGCCCAAGACGGAGCTTTGGTGCATTAAAAAATACTTTGGATGGTTTCATCTCGATAACATGTACCAGGCACTTAATACTCGGAGGCAAATAATTAATCATTGAGCTCCGCCTCCTGCGTGGCTTCCGATGCGACTCGCCAGACCCCTCGAGTAATCTTCTCTGCTTTCGCTCGCTCTGCCCCATATTCCCTTTGGCTCTAAGTTATGGCCCCCATAATACCAACGAAAAAAGCCTTCGATAACTATAAACGTGAGATTTTCGGCTCGGATCCAATATGTATAATCTGGTGGATCAAGATTGTCTGTGAACCTATAACCAAATTAGCTAGGGAGTCAATTGTAAAAGGAAAACATAGCAACCTTCGAAAGGTATTGTGCATTGCCTGTATTTTATCTTTCGTTGGTTTCTCAAAGTCATCTCGGACTTCAGAGTCCGACTCTTGAACAAAGGTATTCCAATCGGTCGCCATTCTAGGCCTTCTTGAGTTTCTAAATGAGAGAACGATCGAAAGACAGAATTCCCAGAAGCTAGTTTCGGCCCTTTTATAAATGTTTTATCTGCACCCATGATAGAAGCGCTCTATACTTCTTTTAAGACTCTTCGGCCAATCACCTTGAAAGGCGATCTCGATGTGTTGGTAGGTGCCTCCTAATTCTAATTAGGTATAGCGCGAACACTAGGGACATGCTCAGTTAGCCAGAATATCGATGGGGAAACACCACGATTTTTGAGATTTATGACTACTCAAGTACCCCAATGCGTGGCCATTCCACTTAGGCTTCCTTTTACACCATATCGGATGTTGAAGGAGAGATAGCCAGCTTAATGGCTACCTACATGAGAGGAACACAATCTAAATCGTCAGGTAAAATCGACCGCTAGGCTTTTTGGTCAACATTTAGTACATGCAACGCACAGAGACTATGACGAACTACCCGTAATCTGGAGATATGTTCCTTGATGTATGATGTATAGAATGCAGCTCTCAGGTGATAAATTGGAACCTTGCTCTGTTCTAAAGTTGCCCTTGAGTAGTGGTCAGTGGCTAACTGTCGAAACGCGCACCAATTATTGATGGAATTTGGCCCCAAGTCCACATTGTGGGCTCTGGGACTCCAAAAGAGCATCGATCCCACACAGTGACATCAATGGCTGTTACCGTGACCTCCTCCGGGGAGTTGCTATTGCGATTGGTCAGTAAGAAGTAGCTAACCTTACTGCTTTGGGAAGCTGTCTGTGTATCTTGTCGTCGAAATGTCTACAAGTATACCACTCACCGCTGAAATTCTGCATGGGCCAATATTAAGGTCAGTAAGATCAGCCTCAAGCTCGCAGTGGATTTCCTAAAACGCTCTAGCGTCATTTTCTGCGATCTGCGCAAAATTGCTATTTGTGGAAATTGGTATACATGGACACTGCCAATCCCTTTCATGCTCTTCGGAAGATCACGAAGGGGTACACTGACAGATATTGAGTGGAGTCAGCTGAGCTATACCGGCACCCTCTCATTGGACAATTAGATGATATCGTATATGCAAAGCCCATCCTAGGGTGTTCATTCACTCTTTATGGGAAAGATCTGAAGAACTCTAAAGCCTGAAGACTATACAGGTGTAGTTCGTGGGGGCGATTTGATCTCAAAGTGGAGCCTTGGGACCCTGGGACCCTGGAGCAGAGGAAGAGAGACCAGCTCTTGTAGGGATATCAGAATCTATAAAGACCAGGCTGTCACCCCGGATTCATGCTGAGTATTCAAGCAGATCACTATCACCTCTCAAGTCTTCTATCTTCATCATGCCTTCTATAAATACTCTTGTGTCTGCCGCCCTGGCACTTTCCATGGCTGCTAATGCCTCTGACATTGTATGTTCCTCTAACGCCTTCGCAAGCCGCCAGAGAGCTCTGCTGACAAAATTACCGATAGATCAGCGGCGGCATTAACAACGATAACAGCAAATGCCCCAACAACTGGGTTGATGTCAGGAACAACAACGATGAGAGATGCTGCTACGGCTCTCTTTGGACCGAGAACAACGACACCTTCTGTTGTGTACGCGATGTTGCCGCCGATTTCTCGAACGATCTTCGTTCTCGCGACGACTCGTCCAACTGCTATCCTTTCTGTTCAGACTCGACTAGAGGATTCCCTTCAATCACGGCTCCCAGCCTGCCTTCCTGTGCCACCAAGGTTCCCTTTTCGGCAAGCGACTACTCCAGCTTGGTCTCTTCTGCATCATCCTCACTGGCAAATAAAAGCCCTACTACCAACTCAGCCGGCCAGACGACCACAACTTTCGCTACGTCTGCTACAGACTCTGCCTCGTCTACCTCTTCGGAGACTGGCTCATCTGAAGAGACTTCTACCAATGCTGCTATGCCCGTTATGACTGGAAGTGTTGCTCTTGGGGGAGTTGCTATGGTTGGTGCTCTGCTGGCTTTGTAATTTACTTGTCTATAATCAATTGAGAATTTGAGATGAATGGTGCTCAAAACAAAAGGTCACAAAGAATGACATCCAATTTTAGACCATCGTGGAAGGCAAAAAAGTTCGCTCAAAAGTGTTGTATGTGGCTCACCCCTAGGTCTTTCTTCTCTTTCTGCCTTTCTCGCCTTTCCCTCTAAGGCAAGCGTCGGACAAAATCCGGTCTCAACTGGATAATGGAGTAGAAGAAAAATGACACAGATAAGCTAAGCTAACAAAGCTTTGCATCTTGAGAGCCTTTTTCCTTTCCTCTGAAACACCATCGAGACGGAACCTGTTACATACGACCACAGGGTGTGGAAAACAGGGCTTCCCGTCCGCTCAGCCGTACTTAAGCCACACGCCGGTGAGTTAGTAGTTGGGTGGGTGACCACCAGCGAATCCTCACTGTTGTATGTTTTTGTGTTTTCGTTTTTGTATGTTTCCGTAACTCAACACTTCCCGCTTACTCAAGTGGAAAGCAAACCCAGGGTCGACAGGGGAGGAGGTCTTGGGAAGACCGCTTTGCAATGCATCTTCATGTCTCCCACGATAAAGTGACGGAATTAATAGTTTTCATATTGAAGCAAAAACTTCTGTTAGGAAATGCTGCGGCTTATGCTTCCTTCGAGCGAAAGGTTGCTCAAGTCTAATCTAGATGTCAGAAACACGGTGGATCTGTATGTTGATTTCTGGGTATTTACCAAGAATATCTTACGACATCAACATCAGACAATTCACATCAAAATGCGTATTACTCTTTATCAGCATGTCCTAAAAAATTGCCAATTTCATGGTTCTATTCGGTGAGATTAATGTTAACCCCCATTTTGGAACCCATACACCACTGGCCACTGATTTCTGTCACTAGATCTTCCAGCTTCCTGTCGGCATTATCTTACGAATACTGCAGGGAGACCGGACCTATCATAGTATCCGATTCTTGAAACATAGGAAAATGAAAGCTAAATTTGTTCCATCTTTCTTCTAGTGATTGTGAAGTATGTACTTGAGCAACCCGAAAAAAAAAAGATTCCCTCCCTTATGCGCCGGGGCAGACAATACCGTCGTCCTCAATTCTGTAGCCACAAACCTTTCCGTCTCCGCCCTCAGATCCACTGCACTGTTATCACTGTCAGTTAACACTCCAATAGCACGAGCTGTGGTCAGAAATGGATCATCTTACACTCCCAACGGTACAATCACTTCGGTTTCGAACGTCAGTACCAAGTATTATGGTGTTGATCGTGATACTCACTGGTTGTTAGGGATGATCCCATCGGAAAGGTTGCAGGAGCTTCCATTGCACACCTGACTTTGTGTAAGTATCTATGGATAAGTGGATTTGAGTCTTTCTTACTCCTCCCGAAGGCTCAGAACGAGCAACCACGGTCTTATCACCAGCAGGGGCAGCAGCGGGAGAGGCCATGGCCAGGGCGGGCACGGCAGCCAAGGCAATTGCAATCTGGGCGAAGTGCATTGTTGATTGATTGTAGATGGGATGGTGGGTGGAATCGAAGAGTGATGGTGAATTGAATAATTGGATTGAGACCTGACTGAGTGTCGACAGCCCTTCTTTATAGTTTTTCCAACTACCCGACTTGGCCTTGGATCTACATTTCTATTCCCATTCTGTAGCTACTGGCAAGGCAGATTTCGGTCTCGATGATCGTCAGAAGATATGGACTATACTGCATAAATGGGACAGGAGCTATACCAAAGCATTCAAGGTGACTGCAAATCTCAAATTTCAGCCCCAGGCCTGAGTGCCAGGTGGGGCTTCCGCCCCCCGTTCCCGTCCCCAAATAGCCCCACGATGATCGTCCGCCCCGCCCCGCTCCCCAGCGTAAACGCTCTCGACGAATCTCATCGCTGCAGGAACTTCGACCCCCTTCTCAGTACCATATCAGCCCCCTGACTCTCCACCACTCGCTCCACCATCCAGCGTAAACGCTCTCGACGAATTTACATCCCTGCAGAAACTACCCGAAACACCAACCCACAGGTCTTCACATGCTGGGAGGCACTGTCGAATCCACAATAGTTCTGCAAATTCTCAACCCGGAAGCCAATGAGCTGATCGTACACCTGTGAACCACAGGGGCGAGATTGCCAGATTCCTGCTGTATGAACATGTGGCCCCATCCGGCGACACACCGAGAATGGAGTATTTCTGGCCCCTCTGCTCGGCGGTCTTCTGGAGCTTTGCTGTGAGTTAGGCCACTGGCCGTTTCTTGCTCGCGCAAGGAATCTTTGATGGTGAAGCTGGGTTTGCTGGAGTACTAGAAAAGGGCGAAGTTGTATTCTGTCTCGCTGGTGAAGTCATCGTGGCTAGATACAAGTGCATAGATAAGTTGAGGAATCGGTAAATCGACCAGTTGGTCGACACAAGGTGGTGGAGACAAGGAGAAGAGGGGGGACCCAGGGGCCATGAGCGAGGGGTGAGGTGCCTCGCTGTGGATCACTATCACAATGTGGTCCGCGACTTTCGTAACTTTAGAAGTTCAAGGAGAAAAGAGGTCAGATAAATGTTATTTGATCATGATATGTATTATTTGATGATATATATTGAGGGGACCCGGGGAGACGAGAAAAAGATAGAATACATATCTCCACCGCATCGTACCTGCCGAGTTCTACTACTTCTACCTAGTTCTAAAGTTACTACTTTCCCAATTCGGGCAGTGGATGGCGTCTGACCATCGCAACTCGGTGGAATCCCAAGGTATACCTAGTTAAAGCTCCAGGATCACCTATTTCGTTGAGCAGCAGCATGTCTGTGAGGCCATACAGATGCCAGAGACAGCTACGAAGGAAGCAAAGAAGAATAACCAACCAAGCTACCAAGACGCGCAGGGAGAGAAGAGATCTCCTCACCTGCCCAGACTGGGCTCTTACCTCTGTGCCTTCCTTTTTCGTGTGAGGCCTTCTCACTTGAGTATGCTCTTCCCACTCCCCTTCCCAACCATCTTCTCCAACACCTTCCAACACACCACTCTCGGTTTTTTCTTCTCAACTTGACTACTCTTGTTAACAAACAAGATGTCTGGTCAAGTCTCAATCGATGATTTTGTCTGAACGGAAAAGGTTTCTATCCTGATAAAATACTGGTCGGCAACGAGACCGGCCTTCAGGGTCGCTGACAGGAGCGACGCAGGGAACAATGACAAACTCGCAGCGGGGGCCACGCGTGTGGTCGCAGCGCTAGTCATTCAAGGTCGACCCTCTTTTCAATTGCTGCTAGGACGGCACTGGATGTCTACTTGCGGATTGACTGGCAACTACAAAGGTGGAACCTACACTTATCGCGATGACGCGGATTAGGTCCGGAACATGGCTAGAAGTGATCTGGGAGCGCTGGCCAGGCAGTGACCGCAGAGCTGCAAGCGCAGCAATATAACCTCCGCTTCGGTGACTGGAGGGCGGCGATACTACCAGCCGGTACGTATAATCGGATACCCGACGGCTTTGTTGTCTGGATTGTCTGGCAGAGAATTGACGGGCGGTCTCTTAAACCCGGTCATGGCCCTAGTGTATGTGGATTTTGGAAACATGATCGACCCACCCGCGATCTGATCCGCGCGAAAAGTCTTGAGGCTTGCCAGTGAGTGTCATATAGTATATATACTCAGAGCGGAACTGACATTCAAACCAGGGAAGTCATGGGGCATTGCCATCGCGCCCACTAGCCTCACCCTGCATAGTTTCTGGTGACGCAGCGGTACCACAACCCCGCGAGTGCCTGATGTGCCCGCAGCGAGCAACAATGACTCGCCTCTGATACCCCGAAAACGATCTCTGTCCCAGACAGAGAATCACACTCAGATTTCTGTACACGTGGAGTCAGTGAACTTTCTTGTGCCGCAGGGCCAGGATTCTGTACCTGCTGCGTTGAACTGGTCTGGTGTGGTTTCGGAGAGGGAATCTGGCTCCATCAGTGAATCGACCTGTCTCGTGCCGCAAGGCAGGGATTCTGGACTTCCTGTTGTTGCTTGTCCTGACCGTGATCAAGAGGAAGAACAAGTCCTCGATGATGAGGCAGATCAAATCCAAGGGAAAAAAGATGTGGGTGTTGCTGGAATCTCTGACATGTGTTTCCCACTGACAAATTTAGCGACATCGTTGGCTTCAGAAAGTCCTCGTTCTGGAAGCCCAAACATCTCCCAGGACGAGAAATATGGGCTTCGTTGGGCTTCGCTTTCACGCCGCCGCATGTTGACTGGAGCAGCCCCACATGGGATGGCGATGTATCTGAATGGGAACTGTGAATTCCAGGATTATCGAATGCGTCGCAGAAAAACATCCTTCAGATTTGAAGTCCAGTTTTACCTACTTGAATAAATATATTTCTTCTTCTATGCTTTGGACATCTCTGGTATTGACTTTGGACATACTGTCTTCCCCAAGTACGTAACGATGATCCCCACTTCCCAACTTGGATACTCAATCTATGCATATTTCTTCACAATTTGTGCTTTAAAAGCTGAAATCAACTCGTACAGCTCGAGTGGATGAGAAAAGGGGGTGAGATCCACCCCATGCATTAAGTAGAGCTCGGCTTTCGAGGCTATTCTTGAAGACGAAAGAAGATAGTTATGCAACAGTAACAACACAGGTGAAGGGTTATCATAACGGGAAAGCTGATCACAATGCCATGTTCAAAAAGCAACGACGGGGTTGTCAAACGTTGCCAACCTTGGAAGAGCTGGGTAAAACAACCGGGGAAGGCATGTCAAAATTTAACGGCCCTTTGTGCGATGAAATTGATAAGTTAGCTTGAGATGGCACTTTTTTGCGGCAAATTGAAATTTGTAGGAAAGATGCATACAGTTACCTGGAGAAGTATGGTGTAATGGCAAACATGACAAACGAAGCGAAGGATAAGTAAAAAGGAACCTTGGTCGCCTGGAGTCTCTGTGAAGAGAACCTAGGAAAGTACGGAAATACAAAAGGTCAGGCCAACCAGCTGGCTTCTCCATCGCCCCGGCATCTTCTTTCATCTTCAGTTCACTCCAACATCTCAACACTTCACTATCTACTACTTCAAGTCACTACAGACTCTCAGCGTCAGCTACCAGCCATTTGGGAACTAAAGATTCGAGACATCCAACTTTGTTTCTCACCTGTCCTTCCTCTTGCGCACAAAATGCCTCCCCGCGGTCGAGCCAGGGCACCAAAATACAAGGAAGAGAAGGGTCCGAAGAAGACCCAGATGTCGTACTGCAGTGAATGCGCGGCCTTCAAAAAAGGAAACCACCTATGCCGTCCGACTTGTCGAAGATGTGGTCAAAGATTCGATGGAGGGACTGGATGTGATCCCACAGCCTATTGTGGCGCCATCCCTTGCTGCGGCTGCTGTAAACCCCAGCCTTCTTCTCCTACCCCCGAGAGCACCTGAGCCACGTGGAGTCTGGTAGTTATGCGGCCGACCATTCACCCTTGAAGGTAACAAGACAATGCAGCTACGTCTTTACGCATGCTAATCAGGAAACTTCCCTTTAGGGGGGTTTTTTTTTCTCATTCCGACATAGCTCCAATTAGCTCTTCTGTCGGACCGTTCTCTGGAGATCAAGCTCAAACACCCACCCTGTCGTTTTGTCTCCACAGCATTCCATAATCCAGACACTTTTACCCATGTGACATACCATACAAGTGCTTCAGGCGGGGGTATCAGCAGGGTCGCTTCAAAAAGAACACGAAATAAACACTACATCCCGACAGAAATCACAGTGCCCTCATCGTCGTTAAATAAAATGAAAAAACGACAGGTTTACTGAATTCATTCTGCCTGCACATCTATCTGCATTTTCTGCTCCAGGAATTGACCATGAAGATAGCGAGGGGTTATGTGACAAAGGTTAACTACTTCAGAGCTGGCTTCGAAACTCTTCCGCAAAGCACGTACAGGGGTTTGGACTGCTTTACCCGGGTGACACTTTTACGCTAATACTTGGTATTCTCGAGGTTATGGCGGAAACGCAACAGTCGTGCCTGGTGGCTTTGCAGGGCAGAGTCGCTAGGTTTGCACCTAAGCCACGAGTACTACGGGCCCCAGTGCAGTAAAAACAGTAGCCAAATATGTATATACAGTGGCTTGTGCGCATTCGATTTCGTCGTTTCCAAAAACGTCAATAGCAATCTGAGAAAAAGGCTCTTGGTGTTTCATCACCAATTTCCAGAGATTTTCCTCTTTTTTTACAAGCATATATCTCAGGCACCAGCTCCTGTTGGAACAAAGACTCGTTTTCTCTGTCGATATCAGTCAGTAAAATCCTTGTTATTGGATCGTATGAGGAATGGATAAACGGGGCATACCGATAGACCGAGGGATCCAATCAAAGCAACGGCTGACCCAACATACGCGAAGATAAAGCTGCGGTGGTGATTTCAGTCAATCATCATGTCAGGCGGAAGTGACTCAAAAACTTACGTCTTACTCATATTGGAAATAATGAGATTGAGGGCGGTTTCCCGCATTTCCGGTGATAGTTTCTCAAGGACCGCACTGCCTGTGCCCGTGATACTTGACTGCAGCGCGTCGGTTGGCGTGTTGGGAAGGAGCTGCTGCAGATCAAGGGTGGCTCCGTTGACAAAAAGAGCGCTAGCGCATGAAAGACCAAGAGCAATGCCCCCGATTTGGGCTAGAATTCTCCGTCAGATGAAAGGTTTTGGGGAAGGGAAATATATTGCATACCAATCATCATAAAGCTAACTGCGTAGCCTAAGTCTTCTGGCTGGCGGAACCACAGTTTGAATAACGGCGTAGCCAGCTTGAAAAAATGCACCACCACCAAGGCCGAGCATGGCTTCGGATCCGTAGACGTATGAAGGCGAGGTTCCAGCATTGATTTGCGCTGTGCTCAAGTCAGCTGTGATCTATCGCGAGGAACGAAGATCGCCCTCTGTATCAGCGCATGAAAGGAGAAGATCATACAGAGAAGAACATTCCCAATAAGAGCCACGGCAGCTCCAATAGTGTACCATGGCATATAATACCCGAAACGGGACATGAGATATCCACTTGCTAAAACCATGCCACAGAGCAAGAAAATAAGGGGAAGAAGCCGAACTGCAGAGTCAAGAGCGCTGTCCCCTCGTGTGAACTGGAAATAGATCGGGATGTAGTAAATCTGGATAAAAGTAGAGGCGTTGCACGCGGCAGCAAGAATGAAAAGGAGTAGCGCTTCCTTGTTCCGAAGAAATTGAACAGGGAACTTTCTGTCGAGCGGTCCGGTGAGGAAAGTCCAAGTCTGCTGTGCGGCGAAGAGAATCCAAAGGACACCGGCAACGACAAAGAGTGCAATGATCTGTCCGCTGTTCCATGCGTATAGCACGCCTCCGAAGTTGATGGGCATCATGGTGGCAACGACTGCACCGATGCTTAGGATTGTGCCAACAGAATCGAATTTCCGAAATCTTTGGCCTAGCGACAAATGTTTGGCTGGATGGAAACTAGGAAGCAGGAAGAACCAAATGGGGCAAAGTGCACCGCCAATCACAAGGTTGATGTAGAATGCCCAGCGCCAAGTGACCTTTTCGAAAGCACCTCCGACGACAGGGCCAAGGAATGTACCTATTCCCCAGATCAAGCCACTGTAATCCGTCAAGTTAACATAAAGGTGCGAGGAAAATCACCGGAGAGTCCTTGCTTACACCAAACTGAGATACATCGGCCGCTCTTGATCACCGGTGTTGACTGACAGGAGAATCATCACACCAATGTAGATTCCAATGCCGCCCGCACCGGCAAAAACGCGACCAACGATCTCGCCATCGACGTTGGGAGCAGCACCGCAGAGCGCAGAGGCAGCCAAGAAGATCGTAACCGAGCCAATGTAAAGCCACTTCGCGTCGAAAAGGCCATAAAGCTTCCCAAGAGGCATTATCACAGCCACTCCGCCAATGTTGAAACTATACCAAGGTATTAGTGGGAATGTCAGACAACAGGATCATAGGGTTAGCATCTCACCCGACTGTCAGCCATCCCAGATTATCGACAGATGAAAAGTCATCCACAATAGCCTGTGGTATAATATGAGTATACAGTCGCACTCGGAGGCCGGGATGAACATGGGCCCTTACCGGGATGATATCGGCAACGATCGTGTTGTCGAGAGCATACAAAAAGATACTGGATAGAATACTTAAGTACTAACGACAACGAGGAACCACTGAAAAGCTGTTAGTCAATCAATTGGCACGTATACCGAAATTCCCCTTACCTTAAAGCCTCGAATTTGGCGATTTCCCGATGGATCCTCTGCTGCTTGGTAGTCCGACAGCCCTTGGGCGGACTCAACGTTCGATGGCTTGTGTTCGGACCCAAAATGCTCATGGGCGAGAGCATGGTCGGTGTGGGTGGCAGACATGGTTTGACTGAAGTGGAAGTGAGTTGAGCGTAAGAGAGAAGGCCGGCCCCAAAAAGCCTTAAGAGTAGCTCGACGGGGACATTTGGTCAGCTTGTCCTGTGGATCGGAGACGGAATGGACCGAGCCTTAGAAAGGGGAGATCAGATCTGGTCTCAACGCTTAAAAATCGAAAAGGGGTGATCCCCCTTCATGCATAAATGTAAGCTTATTTCCGTATTGGGATGATCGGCGTAAGCACTAGTCACCTTTTAGGAAAGTTGCCAAGCACTTCCTTGTCTCAATCACCCGGGGTCTGGTATCCGTTAGGGGCGTAGGGCAAGATATATTTCCATTGGCTGAGCTTATGGTCTACAGTGTACCAAGGTAAGCTTCTAAAGTTTCTAAGTTCTCACTTGCAGATGGAAGGTTCCATCGGATTATCAATCTGATTCTCTTGGCGTGGATCAATCATCCACGAATGCCTTGGCTAACCATCAAAAGTGAAACATTGTTCAATTCATGGATGTTTACGGGCAAAATCTTATGATGTAGATTTTGTATGTGAAAGCTACATATGGATTGAGTAAGCCCAACTGAATTGAACTTTAGAAATACCGAAAGAAAAATAAATATTGCAGCTTGCGATTAAAGAGTGAAGGGGGATGGCTCACAGCCGGCTCTTAAGGTTGGTAGAGAAATGGCGGAACTTTAGAACTTTAGAAGGTGAAAGAGTTGAGAAATTTGGAACAAGCTTGGTAGTATGTATTTTTGACCCAGCTGGTCATTCATTTCGTTTCTCTTTAGAATATAGCATCCTCCCAAAGCCACTTTATCGTAAACAAAGGGTTCGGATTTGCCCCGGCTTACCATGAAGGCTCAGCCCCATCATACTGGTTGAGTCCCTCGGCCTTCTCCCATCCGGCCACGCGAATGTTAAAGAATTTACCATTAGCCTGCTTATCGGCACGGAAAACGACATCCAGGACGGCATCGGCACTTTGATCGATGGTCAAATCGGCCGAAGCGCCTCCCAGATCGGTCTGCACCCACTGTAAAATCGGTCAGTAAGAGTGGAATTTGCACGCAACGGGGTGATACTTACACCCGGGGAGAGGGAGAAAATGGAGAAACCCTGATCCGCAAATGACTGAGCGTATTGCACAGTGAGCATGTTCAGAGCGGCCTTGGAGACCTTGTAGGCGGGAACGGGGAAGAGTGAGTAGGTGGATGCCATCCCAATAGAACCAAGGGTGGTAGAGCTGGTCACTATTAGTATATCATTTGCTTCAAAGTATATGAAGATATATGTTGCTTACATATTGGCCACCTTCTTGAGGTTTCCCTTCTTCAAAAGCGGTAGAAGTGCACTTGTGACGAGATGAGCACTGGTAACATTGGTAGTGAAGGAAGATTCAAGGTCGGTCCTAAGCCCACGAGTCAGCTGGAAGCCCCGAAAGAAGGACAAAGAGAGAGAGAGAGAGAGAGAGAGAGAGAGAGAGAGAGAGAGAGCGGTGTTTCTTATGTAACACCTGGGACTACTGACATGGTCTCAATGCCATCGGGGGTATAGTTCATAACGCCGGCATTGTTGATCAGAACATCGAGACCCTTGTTCCCTAGAGATTGCTCAACCTTGCTGGCGGCTTGCTTAACGCTCTGCTCAGATGTGATATCGATAGAAACGATCTGGATGCGACCATCAGACTTGGAAGCTAGATCTTTGAGAGCTTGAGTCTCTGTGCGGGCGGCAGCAAAGACGACCGAAACTTCTGAGGCTGGTTTGGCCGCAAGAATCTCAGCGAGCTTCAGGCCAACACCCCGCGAGGTACCAGTGATAAAGTAAGAGGCCATTCTGTTGAGTTGCGGAAAGTGTGTGTGAGAGAGATGTCGAAGGTAAAAGTCAAGGATATTGAATCGAATGAGTAGAAGAAAAAAGCCAACGGGATTGAACAGCCTTTTATGTGTACTCCTGGGAGCTATGAGACTGTTCATATGTAAGCAATTTGTTCGCCATCTGTCTCTCTGAGTCGTTGACAGGGGTGCAAAATTATTTGATTACTCGTATGTGCTTTGAAATCAGGGTGGGCCGTTGTCGCCCTTTCTGCGGCACCTGCGTACGGCGCAAATTGACTTTGATCCCATTTCTCGCTTCGTTAGGCGTAGCGCCTGATCTACACGACGCTCGCCTTCGACTATCGTCAAAATTGTTTTTTGGGGGGTTCAAAGTGACCATCGAAGTCGCTGCCTTTCTACACTAGCATTCCTGATCTTCCGGGAGAAAACCTTACAAACAGTCTTGTTTGAGATGCTGGATTATAAACATCGTCCTACGAGCTGAAATGACTGAACGGCATGTCTAACACAACACTAATAAGACCATTTTTGGGTGTTCTATCAACCTTCTTCAGCTGACGATGAGATCTGCTGACTGATTCATGGTGAGCCCATAGCCAATTTGCTAAGTTTCCCCCTCAGTCCCTTCAGTTGGGCGGACATTTCATCATCTTGGAGCATCAGCTCGAGTTCAACCCCAATCTTGTAAACCATGTTCAGTTCGTCCACGAGGGTGCCAATGCGCTTGACTAGACGGTCTGCGTGCTTCTTTCCCGGGCTTTCAACCAGTGGCTGTGAACGCTGTTTGTCAGAAATGAACATGTCATGTACGGAGTCAGGGTTTCAGCATTTTACCTTGGGATTGCAAGTTTTTCCCTTCGCTGACTGTGCTCCCTGTGCTGCCAATGAACCAGGAGACGCTATCAAGTTCGCGCTCTCCTGACATCCAATATCGATAGGACCTGCCATTTCCACTCCTTGAATGTAGCCCTGTCTTTTGCCCACATCTGGAATGGGGTCTGTTCCGAGGCGAGGCGACATTGCTGTAGATGATCGACAGAAATCGATAGAGGGAAGAAGCGATTCCCATAGCCGCTGCGCCTGAGTGGAAGTCTCATTTGAAGCTGAACTGCTCGAGATGTCTGATAATCGCGCTAATGTGGAAAGTGCCTCTGGTATCAAATCCGGATCTTGCTACGGGGAGTCAGCCAGCCACGACATATCAAGCGCTGAGCTCAATTGCTCTGGGCATGTGAGATCGAACGGGAGCGGAATGACAAGTTCAGGGTCTGTTATTGTCGCTTGAGTCTTCATCTTGCGACCTATCTTGACTCTGCGAATCAGGTCCTAGCTTCTGCAGTGGGTGCCTCAGAGCATGCACACTTACGATATTTGCGTTGTGCGGCTTTGTTCTGAAGCCGTCTTCGCGTGGCCATGTCTTCGATCTGCGACCAGTCCTCATCCGATGCGACTGGGGTTGTTTCTTGCCCTTGCCAAACCAAGGCAGGTGCCTTTTCACGCATCGCTGTATTGTCTCTCGTTCTTTGCCCAGCTATGTACACCACTGTTCGTTTGATCGACCATAAGCAGATCGCGTCTCTTAAGTGAGATGTGAGTTGGTCTGCCACATGATATCTGTTGGGTGTCGCCCCAGATGTCACTTTTGGTCTTTTTTTTTGGCCCTTCTCAAGGCAACGGACAAGTCACGATGCAAGATGATCTCTGCGTGTTGTTACATCTCCACGCCCCCAACTTTTAGTTCGGCCTCGAAGGTTACATAATATCCGCATATACGAGTATGTAGCCCCGGAGAGGGACGCGCACATCAATCGGTAGTCCGTCCATCTTATTGGGTGTCCAAATGCTTAATACGAGATCTCGCCATCGGGCATGATCCTCTGACTGGCTGTGCATGCCTTTGCTCTCCATGGCAAGTCTCCATTCCCTGTAATTTTTTGCTTGTTCTCATGGGCTTGCTGCTTGTTTCGATTACTCCACAGCCAGTCCATATTCTCATTGGCTTCGCTGGTTTCAAAAAGAAAAAAAAAAAAAAAAAAAGTACTCCGTACCGGCTTACAAAATACAAGTAGTGGCTGAAAAAGAAATCTCGCTAATCCCTGGATCTACGAACATCTGCGGAGTAATTGGTAGACATTGCGGATACCCCCACTTGCCGTTGCGTACTCCGTATCTTATGTGGTGATAGGTATCTTTGCGAGGCTCAGAGTCTGATCGAACTCGAAAATCCCTGGAGGCGCCATGAGATTCCAATTAGAATTGAGATCGATTGCGTGATTCTTTTTCTTTTTTTTTTTCTCTCGCGCGCAGTGACACCCCTGCAGGTGGAGAGTGGCGTCCCCGGGGGCCGTAACTCTTGTTTTTCGGCCCCATGATCCACCCTTCGTGAAAGTCGGTTGGTATGAATCGTCTTTCTGTTGAGAGAGCAAGAAGACTGAACCAAGAATTGAATTTCGAGAGAGAGAAGAAGAAGGAAGAGAGGGAAGCTGAGCTATCTACTACTAGGGGTTGGGCAAACACCTTCCACAACACTTTCGCGCTTTCGCGCCCTGGCTTCCCACTACGGTCGCTCAGGAGAAATACACGAAGGATTAACGAGTATGCAAGCAGATGTGATTGTACTTATGTACAGCCTAACTACTCGTACACTACTCGTAAATTGGCCTCCTGGGCCACCCTCGCATGAAAATCAGTGCACAGTCTATCGGTCAGAATCAATGCGAGCACGCTATCCGACATCAAATTGCCCACTGCGCCTATATTACCATGAGCGGTATGAGGTCCGCCGGAGGTGGCTGAATCGCTATGTAGAGGCCCCTTGTGTGCTACCAATAGTGTTGACGCGATGCTTTCACCTAATTGCCTTACCTCTGTCTCTTTTTCGACCCGGTAACATGAATGGATGAGGCAATATCTCTACTCCTCGACGAAATCAATCAGTGATACCTATCTAATTGTTCAAGGCGACCCGATCCCGGCGCAAGGTTCGACACGGGCCGAAAAACCCCACACAGTAGACCTAATGCTCATCCTTTCCATCTTATGTGTCATTTGCAGTAATTACATATTGTACACAAAAGTACAGTCCCGAGTAATTTAAGTGTACCTGGAATCGTGACCGTGGATTGTCAAGACGCCGACCGTCTCAGACCCTGTGGCAATATCCAACGATGTCTCACCAAATTCCAGCTAGGCTCGTTAGTACGTCGATCACGCTGGGCCCCGGGGGATGTCCCGCCGTCGCATGATGCTTACCTAAGTAGGGATCGGCTCTCGACCATTTCCTGAAGTCTCACCACGCTACCAGTGAGCACCGAGAAAGAGGTTGTTCCAACCCCCAATCCATAAAGTATCCTCACTACCATAGTGCTGTACAGTACATCAACCTTCGTGTTTGGGGTCTTAAATATAACATCACACCGATGGGACGGACCAGTATAACCTGGTCAATGTACTATGTAGTATGTACTGGTATAGTTTCTTGAAATCAAATCAACCTCATGCTGAAGTCAGCGATGTTGCGAGGATATAGATGGCGGGAATGGAGAGCAGCAGTAGATCCCCCAGGGGCCCTAGTCGGCGGGGCCGTGCCAAAGAAAGTCCATAGGATCTATGAGAGATCGATTCGTATATCTATGCAAACAGCATGTTAGGACCTTCTATTATTACTCCAATATAAACCATTCCTTTCGCAAAAGGAGAGTTTAGAAATACGGAGTACATAATAGCGAATTGATACATATCTCCATCAGGGGCCATGCAGAGAAAGAATGGTTTGTAGAGTAAATAAAGTTGGTGATATTGGAAGTGCACCAAAAACGTGCACGCCTTGTTAATCAAGCTAAGTAGGGTGTATATTATCACGTATCATTACTTCCAATTCTAAAGTTCTGGAACAGGAGTGACCCAAGGTATCGATGGTGATTGCTCTCATAACTGTATTCCCTTCTCTCAACCTCCTCACCCGCAACGATAGACCCGACTGGATCTTCAAACTCACCGTTTGGCTTTTTGACCTTGGCTCTTCATATTTCTTCGATCAAGTCCTTCTTCTCCTTTGACTTTTGCCTGTGCTCCTCGGAGTTTTGTCCATTTGTCTGGTCGCCGCCTGTTCTTAATTCGGTGGTATAAATTGAAAGTAACTAAAGCCCCGATCCATGGATTTCGCTAGTGCCAAGTCAGAATTTGGGTATTTGAATCCCTCGGTGATAAGATCCTGACTTCACCGCAGGCGTATCTTTCGACATCACTTTTCGTGGGTTTACAAACAAAGAAGAAGAAAGACGGACGGAAGCTCTTGGATTCTCACTAGGGAGAGAGAGAAGGAGAGACCTACCGGATTTATCTATTAACGTGGAGGGCGAGCCCTACACAACGACTTTACAATGGCAGACTCAACACAGCAACAGCCCCTCGTCAAACGAGGGCATGTGCGATCACCAAATGATCTGTGTCCAACATTCACTTCTTTAACGATGCCTTATGTATACGAGGATGCCATCATCCTCACTGCAACACACCCATCTGTCAAAAGTGTCCACCTGTCGCAAGACAAGTGGTTTATTTCCGATTTATATGCCCTCTACTATCTTCTCAAAGACCAAGGTCAAAAGCAGATATGGCTGACATCCACTGATCCACAAAGAGAGCTTATTCAGAATTATGGGCTCAGTGCTAGAAAAAAATGGTTGAACCAGACTTGGAATTCCTCTAGTCCTTCTCGCGGACTGTCTGAACTTCAAGCCAAAATATTCGGCCTTACCCCACACTGCAGCGGTGGCGCAGTGGTAACGCGTGAGATGTGAGCATCCCCTGATAACTTTCATGCAAGTCCAAAACTAATAATTCCTCAGTGCAACTAAAGCAATACATCTCAAGATCCCGTGTTCGAACCACGGTCGCTGCTTTCTTTTTTTTTTTGATTTTGAACTTTATCTATACTGACCTCTGGTTGCATCTTTTTTCGACTTACTTTTTTTTTAATCATAAATTGATGGGTTTTCCATATGTTCTACTAGTCTACCTTTAAGTAGAACCAGGGACAAAACTACCCATTTATCCGAAAGTTATATATTTTAATATGCAGTACGCAAAAACATAACGGATGACATCCAGGCGGTACAATCTCGAATTAGAAACAAGATTGGTTCCCACACTTCTGAAGCCCACATACGTCTTGGTGATAAGCTCGGGGCCTCAGGGTGCCTTTTGTGGGTGATTGTGCTGGGCTGTAGGCGTTGTGGGCGGTGTCTTCCTCGTAGCATAGAAGTTTAGGTGGCTATAAAATCAAAAAGGCCAGATCAGACCGTGCATACTACTACACTTCTATTCCTCTGTTGCGCTGTCATCGTATGGAATAGTAAGTGAAAAAAGTTGACACAAAAAAAGCAAAAGGAAGCTCCAATAGGGGGAATTGTTGGGATCTGCTTGGCGACCCTGTTTAGGATGACAGGGCTTGTTTGCCTCCATAGAGTAGATAGACTTCTCTCTCCTCTCTCTCCTTCCCTTCCCCGTCCTTTGTGGCATGAATACATCTGGATTCATCATTCTTCTGCTTCCATACGTATTCTATCAGGAATCACCCCCGGCTGTCGTGTGAGAGACGACGATGTTGGCCACTGCACCATATCTAATGTTGGATGGAAGCTCCGATTCTAAATGGACCCATAATTGGTCAGCGTGGTAAGTGGGGTTACCTAAGGCGGTCTGTAGATATTCTACATAAGCATCATCCTCCACCTGGGCAGACGATAAATACGAGGGAAGTTCTTCAATACAGCATTGCTTTCCACTCAACTCATCTATTCACCTCAATTACCAATTCAAGTCAAAGTTCATCAACGATGGACTATAATCAAGGTCTTGATTTCTCACATCAGACACAAGAGGAAATTTGGGTCGACGAGATCAACAGATTTCGAATGAACGGCGGTCTTTGCGAATGGGTCGCTAGCTTTCACCCAGACGAGATTCCCTGCCGGCTAGATGGTGGCTTCTTGAATGGCTCGTACAATGTCGGTCCAAAGTTTATATTTGACGATGGTACTGCGTGGTTACTCCGTTTCCCTCGCGTGAAGAGCGTTTCCCCTAACTACGCCGACGAAAAGGTAGCTATGGAAGTGGAAGCCCTTTCCCTTATCCGCGAAAGAACAAGTGTTCCTGTTCCAGAAATCAGAGCCTGGGGCCTCGCCGATGCCAATCCATTAGGTCTTGGTCCTTTCATCTTGATGGAATTTATCGACGGTGTGTGTTTGAATGACTTATTAACTGGAGGCGGTTCCAGACTACTCAAAAAAGAAATATCAGACAGCGACCTTGGGATTGTGTACAGGCAGATAGCGAACTTCATGCTGCAGATTTTTGAGATCAACTTCCAACGAATCGGAAGTTTGCCTACAACAAGGACGGGTTATTCTACGCCTGCACGCCCACTGACGTGGAAGGTACAAGAGATTCTACAGACCGGGGGTGTTAACACCTTTGGTGCGTTTGGGATCTTTTTATCTTCTAGCATTGCTAATGATATATATAAGTAGGTGATCAATCCCAGTGTTTCTCGACAACTATGGAATACTTCTAGTATATAATAAATCAAGACTGGAAGCAACTTCGACATCAGCTAAATTCAATTATTGGCGAACTAGATGGTATCTCCAAATACACTTCATTGAAGATTTTGGAATCACTGATACCCCAATTTGTGAATACGGAATATGAAAATGGACCTTTCAAACTTATCTGCGACGATTTTGGTCCAGCAAACATGATCGTCAAAAGCGATAAAGATCTCACAATTGTCGGGGTTGTGGACCTTGAGTGGGTGTATGCAGGGCCAGCGCAGCTATTGGGCTCAGCTCCTTGGTGGCTGCTTCATGACCGACCAGTCAATGAAGAGTGGGATTTCAGGGACGGGAATCCCCCGGAGGCCACAAAGCGCTATTTCGATTGCCTCGGCATTTTTAAAGAAGCTTTGGCAGAGGAAGGGACGAAATTTCCCAGCAGCCAATATACGCAACTCTCTCAACTTACCGAATGGTCCGAGTCTTCGGGGGCGATGTGGGTTCATATGCTCTTATCTTCTGGGTTCTTCAATCCACTCGGTTTCCCTTGCATGCAGCTACGGCAATTTGTGGGTGCCCAGTGGTGGAGAGAACGTGTCAATGAGCTGGAAGTTAGACCAGAGGTGAAACATTTTGTGGCTGACAAACTCCGAGACTTGGATGAGTATGACGAAACGATTGATGCAATCGAGAAACTCAAGATCTGCCTAGATGATGGCCAGATTCAGAGGGATGAGTTTGTTATGGCTGTCGATGAATGTATGGCGGTGAGCGAGTAGCCGTCGTTTTCAAGTCTCTGGCTGGGGTCGCCATCAATCACATAATATCAGGAGTTTAGAACCTTAAATTGGCTACGCTATCTTGAATATTGGTTTCTATAGGCTTCGGTCGGGAGCGAAAAGAATTTTAGCTTTGAATAGCGTGCATTACTCGCTCCAATGGAGAATATGTCTGGTTCAAGGAGCACCACTAAATGTTGAATTCCTTGGAATTATAGGCTTTTAGAGCACTAGAGAGGAGAATCTTTCCTTTTTCGGCAAGAACGACATTTCTTTGATGGAGATAACGGGGTTGGAAATTGAAACAATGAATTTTTTGTTATTGAGCTTTGGCTCACCGATGGGAGGGAACCGACCCGACCGTCGGTGTTAGTCACAATTACTTAACCTTACACCGCGCCTGACCCCTGCAACCTGTTCGTCTTTCTATATTCTGTACGATTTCATGACACAGCGCTGGAACTTAATGTCTGGAGTTTTGCGTAATAATACTAGCTCATGAGGCCAAGAGACTTCTTCATGAATATAAATCGTCTATCAAACGCACCTTTTGCAATATTAATCGATGTTTAGCATCGATTCCGTGGGTCTCATTTCAACTCTGCAGTTCGTCATAAATCCGTAATGGGATATCGGGACACTCGGCCATAGACTTGTCTTTCTAATTTTTGAATGCGTTCCTACTCAATCCTCTTCCTCTCTTTACTCCCACGCCACCTCTGTTATTACGACAAATATGGCGGAGCTTTACAACAATACCACTCTGCATTTCCCGCAAGATATTGAAGAACTCCCCTATTCGGTCAACGTTCATCGCTATGCTGGTAAAAAGAGTCTTTGTCGGGTCGTTTCACTCGAGCGTGATCATCTCTATCGCTCTTTCCATGCTGTACAAAGTATAAGAGCACAGTCCACTGAAAGCGACGATGTAGACATATCGCCACAGATGGAAGGCACGCAGAGTGACCACATTATATTCACCTTTGAATCTTTGATTCCACCCCACGAAATCCAAGATTTACTAGCAGGTTTCCCATTTCATGATCGGCTTGCTTTCGACCCTCAAAACAATACTCTGGCTGTCAAAATGGTTCTCCCGCATCACGAGCAAGCCGCAATCGCTCTCAATGACATGCTCCAGAACGCCCTCGAGCAGATGGGTCTATCGAAGACGATTCTATCCTGGGGAACCACGACTTTGCCTGGCCCAGATGGATTAAGCAAGCAGGCAGACGGGGGATGGAGTCCACGAAGACCACCCCGCGGTGCCCTAAAGAGACCATCGGTAGTCTTAGAGGTTGGAGCTTTAGAAACCTCCGCAAAACTCCGTCGCGATGCCTATTACTGGGTAGACCCAGCGCGAGGAAACGCCAATATGGCTATCACAATCAAAATGCATCAAAAGAAGCACCAGATCATCATCGAGCAGTGGACGTGGAATACTCAGATATCTCGACCCATCCAAAAATCCCACCTTACATTGAAAGAAACCAATGGTAAAATCTACTTCGATCCCGATCACCCGACACCACAACTTGTCATTCCGTTCCAATCCCTCTTCCGACGACCAGCTGAGAACAATCGAGAGCAAGATGTCTTGTTTGCAACACAAGATCTCGTTGAGTTCGCGACTATGGTTTGGGAAATGCAGTTTGAGGATGCAAGAGATTGATGTGTATGTGAGAGCTGCATGAAGTGTGTTCTTTTGGCTCCTTTGCACAATTACCAATCCCTGTCGAAGAGATCCGTTAAATGTGCCGTTTTGGCCCCTTTGCACAGTTAACGGCCACTGCCTGTCGATGCATACTTGTAGTGTTTGTAAGAAAATCTAGAGAGATGTGCCAATTGTGTGGTTTTGGAAGTATATTATCATCTGATAAATAAATCGCATCCTTTCTGATTCTCCCGTCATCTTCTCTGCTTCAAGCGACGCTGCCGCTAAAATGAAGGAAAAGATAATTTTCAACACAATTGTCGCACTTATGACAGCTGTAGAACGTGTCGAGAAATCTTAAAGACTGAATCTTCTATCCTGCGGCAAAACTGCCGATCCAGCGACAATCCATGCAAGGGGTGGTAAGTCCCTTGCTGTGCCCGATTAGCAGCGCGCAAGGGACTTTAATGCAGTAAGCTGCATCGATTTCGTATGTACCGACTACCCATCCAGTGACGAATGACATCGCTTCTAAGTTCCTAGCTTTATCGGTCTCAACATGGAGTGCGGAGTATATATCCACTGTCTTGTTATATATGCCCACTCATCTTTACTGTTTCCACCACTTTGTCTCTCACCCTAAGGTTTCACACCATCTCCAAGTAGAACGCCGGCAAATCTGATCAAACAATCATTCAGATGGATTATAACACCGTCACTTCTGACTCGTCACCCCATATTCTCCTCCTCGCCCAACCACGGACTGGGTCCTTCCTACTACAGCGAATGCTCGGCATAGAAGACCAACCTAACGTCCACTTCGATAACCATGCACCCACACATTGCGAAGCTGCCATGCTCATGGAAGAGCTAGGCATCGCCAGCAAAGGTCTAGAAGAGTGGAATGAGAGCCAAAAAGCCCAAGTGATGGAGCACTTTGCGTCCCTCACCCAAAGCCTTCTCCAACGAAGAGCCGCCGCAGAGGCCGACAACAAGACCCTTTTCTACAAAGACCACCCCCAATTTATTTGGCGTTTAGATGCTCGCATACAACGAGAAGACGGAGGCTTTGACGCCATACTGCCACAGTCTGATGAAGCTGCCCATCAAGCAGCAGCAACCAATCCAACTATTCTGCCCGTCGAATGTCTCACGTCCTCGCGTGTGGTCATTTCCGTCCGACACCCAGCCCTATCCTCCGCCTCGGCTTTCCGCGGACACCTTGAGCTTTGACTCCACGACCCTGATAATTGGAGAGGGGAGCTGATGCGCTCTTGGATGACCCTCACCTACTCGCGTGTTCTGTATGACTGGTACCGATCATACACCCAAGAGAATGAATCTCACCAATCTCCCGGGGATCCCATCATCGTCAGCATGAAGGATTTCATTGATGACCCCAGTCTCGTACCTAAGCTGGCGAAGATGCTGGGCTTGGATCCGTCCAAAGTCCTGTCCGAATGGGATACAAGGTCGCAGCCGGAGAACGACCGTATTTTACGAAAGATATATTGCCGCTCAATCAATTGTTCAACTGGGGTGCTGAAGGAAAAGGCACCCGACACGGTCGATCTGGAGGTTGAAACAGCGAAGTGGGTGGAGGAGTTTGGGGGTAACGCCGCCACTATCCTTGCCGATTGTGTGAAACGGGCCATGCCGGACTATGAGTATTTGATGGCCCGGAGGTTACGATGAGTGTATAGAACGGAATTATCACCGATCAAGCCAGGAATCATGCCATCTTCAAGTGTTCCCGAGGTCATAGTGACCAGCTTGCTCCATCAGGGCGTGAGAGAAAGCACCTGATTAGGAATGAGGGGACGGGAAGTTGCGTACAGGTGAAATGAGTCACACAGGGAAAAGGCGGTGGCGGAGCTCAGGAGCTCGGCGATCCGAATCAATGATAAAAATGCCTCAGCTGCGAGGCACAGGGAGAAGGCAAAAAAAGGAAATCGTGGCTGTTGGACGGAGGCGGGAAGCAGGGGCTATATAGTACCACGCACAAGAACGCACAAATACAAGTCCGCTAAGCCAAAAGGGTCATCAGGCCAAATAAGGTTATCTGCAATATGCAATATCCGATATGGTGTAGTGGCTAACATCGTCGTCTCTCACACGACAGCCGGGGGTTCGATTCCCCCTATCGGAGTTACATTTTCGCATCATGATTTTTTTTGCCCCTCGAGTGAGGAACTGTATTGTTCCACTGACCCTTGACCTGACCAATCAGAGCTAGAACGGAATTCCGCGTATCTTTGACTAGTTGAGTGATAGATATAGCAGCTTTAACCGCTGTTCAACACCACAAGTCGTGAAATGGAGGAAATTGACCTAAGACCTCTTCTCTGTTCCAGTAGAACATTGAAAGACTAATTCGAAGAAAATGCCTGTGTATTAAAGGAGCTGTGCAACTCAAGTTGATAAAGTTCATAGTATACTGTAGAAATGCCTATTTACTTCACAAAATCATAACAGCACTCCAGCACCTGTAACAAGCCCAATTTCCTCCACCAATGACATGTCGACGACCACCTTAAGTGAATTCTCAAGACTAACTCATGTTCAAAAATTTCAGCGCATAGCTATGGATTCGTCAAAGTGACAAACCCAAGGTACTACAACCTCTCCGGAGGGCTTCCATTCGACCTCCAAGCAAATACACCTACACCAGAATTATTTCGTGAATCGGGAAAGGATAACGACACTGAAGTGTATACCATCTCAATGTTTCATCAGCTTCACTGCTTGGTATGTTTCTTCAAGACTGGTTTTTTATACTCCCTCAAGTTGAAACCTAGCTGAACCCGCCCACCAGATTACCATCCGGGACACTTTGATGACAACCAACGACGACGGCAAGATAGTGGCTGGGATTAACCAGCCAGTTGAAACAATTAGTAATGATCATCTGAATCACTGTTTTGATTATATCAGACAGGTAGGTTAGCCTCATACGCTCTCTCTAATCCTTCAAATATTAGTATTGATTACTTGTGCGACGCAAGCAGGCTATTCTATGTGCAGGTGATACGGCTCTTGACAGATATGCGTGGGATGATTCTGGACCTCAGTTACTATATGGCGTGAATGGGCTAGGAACAACCCATATTTGCCGTGACGTGGACGCTATTTATGAATTTGAGTCACACCATGGATGGAAAAGAAATGAAAAGCCGGGGTCCGGAATGGGAGAGCACCATCATCGATAGATTATCTATTCAAATGTTTGCTTATCGAAAATCGTCACATCTGCATCTCCCCAAGTATAAAAATCCCAGACTCGGACCTTTACTACTTGGACACCTTGCAATTTTCTGACTAACCATATGAATCCGGGGCCACTCTTCTATATCTGGATCTCCACAGTTCCAAAGTTACAATTGATCATTCTCAAATAATATAATACCTGATTTTGGTAACTTGAATTGAAATGTTGGCTTTGAGGTAGGTTCAAGTTTACTTAAGGGTCTATCTTTTAAGTAGAAAGATGTCTTAAAAAATAGTTAACAAGGCGTTGGGAAAGGTACTTAAAAGACACTTGGAAAGATACTCACAATGACCTATACGAGACTAATCAATGGCAAATACATGCCTCTTTACCCACTAGACTCAACACCAGGTACAGGATCCCTTCCCCGCCGCACTCCAGCGCAGCGGCAAGTCTATTATTACCTAGATATATGTACACATGCCAGTGTGTGTACCGATTGCTTGTTCAACATGAACCATGACTAGCAAAAAAAGATTCAAGATCCACTTGACCCCCATCAATGTCGGCACAGTCTAGCCCAAACCCCACTTCACCAAGTATCTCCTGTGTCAGGTTGAGGCCAACTAGAGCACCATCTGCATTTGAAGGACATTGAAGTAGTGATTGGGTGAGATTTTCAATCTCGGTTTGAAAGGAGAACGATGCCTCAATATTTTCTGAAGCTGTGCTTACATGCTCGGACATGTGGTGTTCCTGCATGACCTGGTCTAGAAGACGGTCGGTTGACATTTCTGCCAAGTATCCTCTTCTAGCTTCGTCTGAGCTTGCACCTGATCGGCAACAGCATGATCCGGTTGCACGTGTCTCGTTAAGGTTCTGCTTGGCTATCAAAATGGGCAGACACTCCAAAACAACACTTTGAAGTTTCTCCTTTTTCTTGAATACGGCCTTCAGAAGTTGTTCCAAATGTTTGTTTTGGATTTTGAGCTGTTCGACTTCACTCTGTTGACGCTGACGATGCTTTCTTTGTGACTCCCTTCACTGCGCACGCCGCTGCTGTTATATTTGAAGATTATCAGTCAGTATTTAAATATTCGTTTTCAATTCACAATTGAGCGCATACCTCGGAGGAACCCATGTCTCGAGCCACAGCAGTAATCAGAGATTCAGAAAAAGTGCTGGTGTTGGTGAAATGTTGGGACCACTGACACTCTTGGGAAACGCGGGCGGTATTTATTGCGTACGTTTGCTGTGGTTGGTTCTCACTTGAAATTTCTAGAAGGGACTTGTAGTTAGGCCTTTTCCAAGTAGGAAGGCGCCCCAACCTGGCATGCACATACATAGATAGACCTGCATTAGTACTCCCAAGGCTCAATTAGATGTATTTTATTGTACCTAGGTATATTAGCGTCATGAAAATGAGATACATACTAATATGTACTCCAGGGCTGTTCACCTTTCTTACGTTTGTTTCAAATATGTGCTCCCACTTTGTTGGTTATTACTAGATAAGAAAAGAATTGATTTTTCAAGATCTAGTTGCCAAATATGTATAATGAATAGAAGATTTTAAGGGGGGTTTCTCATGTGCGGATCGTCCACCAGTTCTCCGCAAAAAGGGGAGGGGACTCGGGTGAACTAGATAGTATTGCGCGGCCTTTGGCCCCCGATACAAAAATACCAGCGCATAATTGATAGATCGCTACATACTTAGCTAAGATTCGAACATTTGAACATCCATCCGTGGATAGATGTGAGGCAGTGCCATGGGACATGCCACCCTGTCGCTAACCATGCATGCGTTGGAGAGAGCTACGCCATTCATCTCAGTCATTGGGAGATACACAGACCTGGCCATTGGATCGCCTTCCAATGCTTGTCCAAATCCGAGACTAAAGAATGAGTCGAATTCCATTGTGCATGTCGTAAAATTGGCCCCATTGCACGCCTACGGATGTTGTTCCAGATAGAAATGCAACTCTAATTTCAAAGATCCACAGTCTAGTTCAATCCAGCTCTAGTACAATGCTTGAGTCAGGTGTGAATCCACCTAGGCATTTGGACAAGGGAAATATCCAAACTCTTCGACAAAGCTCATACTTAGGCAGCCCTGGAAATCCTTTGTCTACTTAGGCACTATAAAGTTACCTATTTAATATTCCCAACCTTGGAATGGTTGAAGATTATGCCATTCATAGCTGTAAGTGGGCAGTAGCCTCATTTCGACCTCGGAGGAATGTAATAACAGAGCCTCCTGAGTGGCAGCTCTATATGCGCAATCGGCATATTACCGCCACCAAAGTCCAATGCTTTGCGGCGTTTCATTGGTTTCAACCCCTGTAACTCATCGAATCAATGGATGCGGGCGCTGCGGAGTCCGTCGGGCTTTCCGGGATACGGTGGTGAGTTGGTGCTGGGGAATTCCTAGCTTAACTGCATTTCAACACAGAGAGAGTAAAATTGACCTAAATAGCTGAGTTCTCAAGGCCAGCCTCGGTGCTTGTCTCAGGCTTATCCGTCCCCTATCGCCCTCGACTTTGAGAACCCACACGCGAAGGGATGGATACTAACTAGTCCAAATTAGCCAAGGAGGCGTCGGCCACCTGGGCATTTATACATGATTGAGTTTGCGTGATCGGCCTCCTATATCGCGAAGAAATTCTAATGTTTTGTACCTTTCAAGGCTGTAATGGATTCAACTCCTTCAGGGCTGTCATTCAATGCATGCGCTCCGAAGCTCTTCGGGCTTCCCGGAATATCCTGTTGTGTACCCTAGGTACTTTGTGGTGAATTAGGTACATTCCAACAAAGGGATAACAATTGACCCAGATTTCGAACCGAGTTTCAAAAGCTATCTACCTGGTAGCTTAGGTGCTTATCTATGGCTTTACTAGTCTGCATTAGCCCAGGCTAAGGTGCACTTGAGGCGTTCGTAAACCGATTTAGGCATGGTTGACTTTAAGGGATCGGCCTGGCGCAAAAATTTTCTAATTTGCTGATGCTCATGTAGCTATATCATACCCCGCCCGTAATAATGCCTAGGTGGGGATATTCCGGGTACAGCCGCAGTCCCCCCCGGTCGAGTCTGTTTTGGAAAGATATGAGATTTTCGCCCCCTGAATTTTACTTAAATCTATTTGATCATGAGTTGAAGACACAGGTCCCGAAAACATTCCAAGATTTAAATAGTCTCAATTTCACTTTTTGTATTGATTAAAATTCTCCCCCTCTCCTATTTGGCTGGCTTTCTTGATTGGAGCCCGGAACATTGAATATGTCTCTATCCAACTCCATCATAGGAGAAGAGAGGCTCTGTTCTCCTTGGCAGCGGGAGCCAAGCCAGAGGATCGACAATTGGATCGAAGCCTCGCGTCGATTTGTCATTGCGGCTGGGCCGATTAGCATAATCATTATCCTTGCGCCATGGCTATATTTTCGTCTGCGAGCCAGGGTCATTGTGGTGGCTCCGGGCTACCGGGGTCTTTTGAAAATGGTGTGTACTAGGTTCCGTCAACTGGTCTAATTCCATACTACATAAGTGGAAACCTTGGAAAAGGCCAATATTTGAATGTCCTGAAAGTTTTACCTAAGTTCTAACGGCGGGAACAGCTAGTAGCCTCAATATTGCTTTTCTTGCAGCTAGCTGTTTTCTGCGTTGAGGTTCATGCTCGATCCAATTCGGTATATATATACACGGCATTTGCTGCTTTTATCGGCTCAGCGACCATCCCATATCTCTCATTCCTAAATCATGGCCGATCGGTTGCGCCATTTGATTTACTCAGCATGATTTTGGCCTCTTCAATCTGTCTTGATTTGATACAGGCGATTGCCTTATATTTCGTCAAGGAATATCACTGTGAAGCATCAATTTTGAACGTCTCTTCAATTGCTGGAAAAGCATTGCTTCTGATTCTCGAGTCTCAGAGCAAGCGTCATATTCTTCGTGAGGAATGGCAGAATTGGTCTTTGGAGGAAACCGAGAGTGCTTTTAGCATTGCTTTCTATTGGTGGGTGAATTCTTTACTGCGAAAGGGACGATCCAAGCTCCTTGAGCTTGATAGCCTTTCATCCATTCCACGTGCATTATCATCTACTACTCTGAGAGAGAGAATGAGGACGTGTTGGGAGAGTCGATGTGAGTAATAATATACGTGACTCAACTGGTGGGACACTTTCTAATGCGATAAATGCAGCAAAACCAGAGAAGAGATATGCGCTTGCATGGGCACTGACGCAGTGTACAATGTGGGAACACTTGCGAGCTATTCCTTATATGCTGGTTGCAACTTCCCTTCGGTATGCACAACCGGTGGTCATATCACGTTTAATCCGCTTTGTCAGTGATCCTCCGGTCGAGAGTCAGCGCCGGCTTGAGGGGGTCAAGTTGGTTGTTTCAGTCATCGTGATATACGTTGGTCTAGCTGTAAGTGGACTCACTCTATCCAGGCGTCCAAAAATCTCACATCAAAACAGACGATGGACAGCCGTAGAGACAATGCGAAGCGCAGAGTTACGGTTGCAGCCAAGGGCTCACTGATTGGCATCATCCACGACAAAGCTTTACGATCCAGAGACGACGACAGCTCTGCAATTACACTGATAGGCAATGACGTGGAAGATGTACAGATGTCCATGGGATGGTTCCATGTTCTCTGGTCTTCTCTTCTGTCACTGGCCTTTGGCTTGTACCTACTAAGCTCCAAACTCGGCTGGGCTAGCCTAGTTCCTGTCGTTTTAGTATTGAGTGAGTGATCTAGCTATCTCATACTTGCCGTATGGAAATTGGTGTGAGCTGATGATATCCAGTAACTTCACAGTGTGGAAAATATGTGTCTCGGAATTTTGTGTCCAAGCAGCGAGCGTGGAGCGATGCGACCCAAAAAAGGATCGACCTCATCAAGACAGTTCTACAGAGCTTGAAAAGCATTAAAATGATGGGATTCACTCGTGAGATGGAAGCAAAAGCCGAGGTGGCACGAGATGATGAGCTATCTGCGGGATTGGCCACATATTGGCTGGATGTTTGTCTAGCGGGTTGTGGTAAGACCTGACTATCCTCCGAGCCTGAGGTGAATCAAAATCTAACAAAGGGTTATATAGCGAGTTTTCTGAATGTCGTTGGTCCTGCCATCACGTTTGTGGTCTATACTATATTGGCCAAAATGACTGGCAATGCACCTCTTGACACAGATCGAGTCTTCACTTCCTTTGCTCTAATCCAAATGGTTACGTTACCAGCAAACTCGATTCTTTTTATTCTGCCAGACTTCATAGCTGCCATTGCCGGCTTTGACAGAATACAGAAGTATCTGCTAGAGCCTGACCATACAGACGATCGTGCTCTGCATTGGGATGCAACAACCGTGTCTACATCTGAAAGCACCCAGAAGTTGGACCAACCAGTGTCTTCGGAATCCATGAGCTCCAGCAATGAAGGCACTGCTGTTTTGATTAACGACGCAACATTCCGGTATTGCTCTGGAAATCGCCCGATTTTGGATCATGTTAATTTACAGGTCGAATCTGGGTCACTTGTCGCCGTTACTGGCGTAATTGGATCAGGAAAGACCACCCTTGCCAGGATCATTCTAGGCGACCTCTCACTTGACAGTGGAACAATCTCCACTTCTTCAAAGCACATGGCCTTCTGTGCTCAGACCCCATGGTTGCGCAGTGGCACCATACGAGAGATCATAGCTGGCGGACCAAGCGCTGCTATAGAAGATGAGAAGTGGTACCAAAAGGTACTCCACGCTTGTGACCTTCAGTACGATGTTATAAAGCTACCACAAGGAGACAAAACTCTCGTTGGATCTGGGGGGATCTCACTTTCAGGTGGCCAAAGGCAACGAGTGGTATGTCGTAGTTTCCAGATTCTTTGCTACAACTGACTGGCTAACCACCCCATAAGGCTCTTGCAAGAGCTGTTTACTCTGAGCTAGACACTCTCATTTTGGATGATGTGCTCAGTGCCCTGGACTCAGCTACAACCGACCGGATAATGCGAAGGCTAGTGGGTCCGTCTGGATTACTTCGCGAGCTGAAGAGGACGGTTATTCTTATTACACATGCGAGTGAGTGAGCATTTCTAACTTTTAAATGACGGTCACTAAGTCTCTTGATTCCTGCAGCAAAACGACTGGATCCTTTCGATCGAATTATCACTCTGGGTATAGATGGTTCTATCTCCGAGCAAAGATCCTTCAAGGAAATCGACCCGCCTACCAGTGCAAATTTCCAGGAAGACACAGAAATGATCGATCACCAGCCAGAATCTGGTCAAGAGAGCCCCGTTCTGGCGACCAAACCCCCAGTGCCCGAAATATCCATGCAGGATGTCCGCAAGATTGGAGACAGCAGCATTTACCAATTTTATGTTCGCGCAATTGGAAAATGGAGGGTATTGATAGTGGTTATGATCATGATATCTTCTGCAAGCTTTGCGATGCTGATCCAGAACTGGCTTCGCTGGTGGACAGCCGATAAGGAATCTGGAAAGCGAACTGGGCTCTATCTTTCACTTTATTGTTTGTTTTCTGTTGGACACTGGCTATCCTTGACTGCAATCAGTACTGTTGCATTACTGATCGTGCCTTCATCAGGCCGTGTTTTACATGGCCAGCTCTTGCGAACGGTGCTGAACGCTCCGTTGTCTTTTATCACATCGAGTGATATCGGAACCACCCTGTCGAGGTTTAGTCAGGACATGAAGCAGGTCGATCGCCGTCTGCCAAGTCAGGTCACTGGACTTGGAAGTCAAGCATTCAAGCTGCTCGCACAAATGCTCCTGCTCTACACAGCACAAACCTACATGCTGACGACATTCCCCATACTTGTGGTTGTTATATACCTCATTCAAAAGATCTACTTGTACACCAGTCGTCAGCTCAGATGGCTAACAATGGAGGCCAACGCTCTACCCAGTAACAGCCTTCTGGAGACCGTGCAAGGAATTACGACAATCCGCGCGTTTGGTTGGGAGGACTCTTATATCCTGGACAACAGTGAAGCACTGGACACTTCCCAGAAGCCGTCTTACATTCTACTTGCGGCCGAACAATGGCTTGCATTGGTATTAGACTTGATTGTTGCAGCAGTGGCATTCATAAATGCCCTTCTTATCGTCACTCGCAAGGATGTGACGCCTGGTGAGGTTGGCATCAGCATGAATGTGATTTTGTCAGTCAACCTTGTCCTACTTGTGACTGTTCAGTCATGGGCGAACTTTGATGCGTCTCTCGGTGTCATATCACGCATCAAGGAGTTCACATCGACTGTTCATCCAGAGCCTCAATCACAAACGGAGTGCTTGATTCCGAAGTCATGGCCGTCCGAAGGTGCTGTCAGTATGAAGAATGTCGTCGCACGCTATGCCACAGTGGAAGATCCCGCCTTGACGGCGGCTAATGCTATTGATAATGTTTCTTTGGACATATCAACTGGTCAGAGAGTCGGAATTTGCGGTCGAACCGGGAGTGGAAAATCGTCCTTGCTGCTTACCCTCCTGCGCTTCCTTGACCCTTCTGAGGGTGTCATCACGATTGATGATGTGGATACAGCATCAGTACCACACGATAGAGTTCGATCGTCCCTAATCACAATCCCACAAGATACTTTTTTTCTCATGGGTGACTCTATTCGAAACAATCTTGATTTTTCAGGGACAGCCCCCGACAACGAAATTATCGCGGCCCTTAAGAAGGTTCATCTCCCACTGGAACCACTCGCGGAGAATGCCGGGCTTACAACAAGTCTATATCTGGATCTGCCGATGAAGGAATGGCCATTATCCCAAGGCCAAATGCAGCTGTTCTCACTCGGTCGGGCCCTTCTGCTACGTTCATCTCGAGGAAAGGTTCTTCTTCTTGATGAGGCGACTAGTAACATTGACCTGGAGACTGATAGACTTGTGCAGAAAGTCATTCGTGAGGAGTTTCATGGCTACACAGTCATTATGATAGCACATCGGCCAGAGACTGTTTCTGATGCAGATTCAATTGTTACGATGGATCAGGGGCACATCGTAGAAAAGCTGATCGATTACGACGGGTGAGCGTGTCAACCTTCAATTTTAGTCTCTGGAAATGGAGCTGAATACTGCCTCTCTGAGAAGAACGATCATCAGAGCTATCAATTGACACTTTTCATGAAACCGATTTTCCACATTGTGATTCATAGATCCTCTACGGCTTCTAAACACTTGCATCTTTCCAAATATCTTTCTCGCTCCCTTTCTTGCCATATTTCTCAACTTTTGATTGGAGGGCCGCAAATGTGCAAATGTTTATTGTGTATAGACGGGATCGCTTCAGCTGCTCATGCAGTTCGCTGGGGTAATTAGCCTCCCAAAATTCGCTGAACATGGTCTTCGTTCTGCCACGGGGGTTATCTTTCGTTGAAAGCTCAGTCAGCCAAGCTCGGAGAGACAAGTTCCTCAGAAATCTCTTACTGGTATCAATCGAAGGCGCCACAGGGTCAAGATAGAAAGACGAGCTAAATAAGAGGCCAATTCTCAGAGAAGACAGCGCAAGGGTTTGAGGGTGTCGAGAAAGGAAAGGGAGTCTCACAGAGGCCAGTAGAAGTGCGTGGAGTCAAGGAGCCGAATCTCGGGGAGGACGGTGCGCAGGCGTTGAAATCGAATCCCCATATGGGATGGACAGAGCGAGGCAAAAGACCCACCGCAGAAACGACGGCATCAGAGACACAAAGTTAGCGGGCACTGTGTCTGGTAACGAGTTGTCTGACGCCGTCATCTCTGCCTTGAGAATTCGCACCAGTTGTGAAGATAGGCAATGCTTCAGGAAGAAGGTCTAGTTCCACGAAGAGATCAGTGGTGCGGAAACAACAATAACAAGACAGTGGAGCTCTGGCGAGAGCAGGCTTTTATAGCTCAGAGCAAGCAAACATGCAAGCACATGGAAAGCAAGCACAATGACGGTAGCAAACAATCATACCAAGAACGTGGTGTTCAGTGATATGGAAAGAATCAAGATACGGGTGGAAAAGGGGTGGAGTAGGTGGAACAAGGTGCTGCTAGTGAAACTAAGCTCTAAGATAGGAAGCTTGTTGATTCACCAGCATCAGGTGACTGCTTTCTCTGTAGAAAAATCCGGCTGGGCAGCTCCTTTACCTCTATCCCTCGCTCTTTTTGCCCCTGCCCCGTCAAAAAGACAATAAACTGGCCATTTTGCCTCTCAAAGCTACCTCACAGAAGTCATGTGTGCGTTTGAATTATTCGAATAAATGAAATATGTTTGGTCTGGATGAATTTGTTGTTAGATTAGCATCATGATCAAAGATTTCTGGGATAGTACATTATTCAACCTCCCATACGGTGTCTTTCTGGACAGAATATCAACCAGGGAAGTACAGCAAAAGACGAGAGGAGCATCAGGGATCCCAAGTAAATAATCAAGGGCCCAAATTCGCCAGATCCATACTTTGACTGGAGTTGCAATTTGAGCAGAGCTGCCGAGATTGGAGCTGTCGAAATGTTCCCAATTCCTTTGCCAAAAGCCATCAAGCTATAGACGAGCTGAGGGTCGTCGGAAAGCATGGACCCGAATCGAGGCCAGACCACGACATAGGCACCCGCAAACAGGCCATAGACAACACTGAAGACAAGAAGTGGTGACAAGGATTTTGCGAACCCCCATAACAAAAAGGTGGCCGTTGAAGATACCACGCCCGTGATAACAGGAAGTACCAGAGCATTGTTGACACGATCTGACAACGCCCCAAACCCAAGTTGGCCAATAACTGTAGCCAGGTTGAGTGCTGCCAGAACCAGTGCCCCAATCTTCCCTGAAAGTCCTATTCTGCTGGCAAACGTCGGCAGATAGAGCGAAGGGATGTAGTATGCAAAGCTTTGAGTCGAGTTTGAAATCACCATGCCCCAAAACATCGGAGCTTTCAAGAATCGCAGGTCGACCTTTTGTGGTGTTCTTTGAGTAGAAACCGGCAGTCTTCCGTGAATGAAAGGTAATATAGGAACAAGCAAAGTGACCTGGGCCACAGCGAATATTCGCAATGTAGTCCGAAACCCGTATTTCGACAAAAGCCACTCCGCTAGGAATGGAATTGCCACTCCGCTGCAGCCACTACCAGAGTATACCACCGCATATGCGAACGCTCTTCGTTTGATGAACCATTCATCGAGAAACGATAAAAGGGGGAAAAAGACACAGAGAAACCCGAGTCCAAATAAAACACCCTGCGTGGCAATCAGAACAGCAACGGAGGGCGCAAATGATGCCCCTACAAGAGAAAGCACACAAATCGCCGAGCCCACCAGTATGATATGATATCTCCATCGAGGGAACTTCATGACAGCGTGTGTTGCAAATGGTGCACCGAGGAAGTATATGCTTGTTGACACAGCTCCCACCACGGCAATATTTGGCGATCCGGCGAATTCTGGCTGCAAAGTGTAGTAATCTTGGAAGACCCCGTAAGCCAAGGCTAAGCCTACCACACTATGTTAGCATACCATTAGAAACTCGTTGATCTCCAAGATTACCCCAAAGCAAGGCATCTAGCACCCAAGATGCGAAGAGAAACTTCCAAGCACCTATGCCTTGGTCTGCTGGGCAAAGACTGTCGAAGTCAGACCTCCCCTCCTCGCGGAACTCGATTCCATCTTCTTGCTGTCTGTCGAGAGACATCTCGTCCAACCAATGTGTCCTTTCTTTGTTATGGTGCGGTGAGAAAAATGATAATCGCGAACCCAGACTCGTGAAATTCGGCGAGGACGAAGTTGCTTCTCTGAAACGATCGTGTAACCAAACGAGTTAGCAATGGTACCAAGAGTCTTTTCTCACCCGCACCATCATAAAACAGCGGGTTTTCTTTTCTGAAACTCGCTGAAAATGTATCGGTCGATATGGTGAGTGAATCATGGGTATCAAGAGAAGATCTACAATAAATCTCTATATTAAATCCTTAAGTCTAGGGAGGAGAGAGAGAAGAAAGGAGGGAAGAAGAGAAGAGGGGAGAACCTAGCTCGACCTGAACTATCTACACAATGCGGGCTGATACCACGGATCACTAGATCTCTTAACCGTGGGCTTGGCACGGATTCCGATGCCGATGCCGAACCAAACCCAGGCCGAATGCGAACTCGATGTCTCAAGGGCCAAACAACTAAACTGACATTCGCCAACAAGAGCTGGGTTTGAAATAATCAACCATAAGGCTACATTATTCGATCTGCCAACGCGACCATACAGGTACACAAGATTCTGAAGGGCAATTATCCTGCAAAGGTGTACATTCAACGAGTTATCAAGCATCTTTCACATCTTTCACATCAGTTGAATGGAATTATCCTGTCCGGATCTCTAGTTCGGTTCTATCAGGACTGCGAACTGGAGATACCATTTCGTCAACGAAGAGCCTTCATGTACCTGTCTGTAGTCAACAGCCCCGATCATCACCTGCTTTATGAAATCGACCGGCAGCTTCTGACGCTATCCACCCCCTTTTGCTGATGCCGGATACATTCTTTGGGGAGAATCGACCTTGACCGCCGATGATGCACTGGCCAAGTACGATGTTGATGTTGATCTCTCGAGCGTGGACTCCGTCTCACTAAAAGAGGCCATCGATGAATGCCGATTGACGAATGATGAATACTAGATTGCTTTGATAAGCAAGGCAAAGGCGACCACCCGTGCGGCACATGAACCTGTGATGAAATCTGTCAGGAGCAGTCGTACTGAAGCTGAAATCGAAGCTGCCTTTCTGGGAGAGTGCACCAGGAAGGGGGCCCGGATTCAGGCTTATCCCCGCATTGTGGCAAGTGGACGTGCAGCTGGAACAATTCATCCGGAGGCCAACAATCAGAGTTTGTACGTCGATGGAACGTGTAAAGAGGTGCTTTTGATTGATGCCGGAGCCGAGTGGGATTGCTATCGGGCTGATGTGGTGAGTTGGCTCTTTTCTCCCTTCTTTTCCTTGAATGATGAAGGAGTTATTAGTTCCTTACTGGCTTGAGACAGACTAGAGCCCTACCTCTTTCTGGGAAATTCTCAAAAGAGGCTCGTGAGATTTGCCGAATTGTTCTCAGAATGCAAGAAGGATGTATTGCAGCGTTGAAGGAGGGAGTCTTGTGGGATGATGTGCATCTTTTGGCACATAAGATTGCGATGGATGGTCTTCTGTCGCTGGGAATTTTGAAGGGACATCCATTGGAAATTTTGGCGGCCAGGACTAGCGCTGCGTTTTCCCCCCATGGAGTCGGGCACTTTTTGGGTACGGATACTTACGTATGACATATTAAACCCGCATTCCTACCAGATTCAAATAGATCGGTTGAGACTGAGCATTTGTATGAAATTTCTTGCTCAGCTTAGAAAATATACAACACAAAGCCTTATCTGTCAGGCGATGGAATCAGAAAGCCTGTCTCAGGTGTTGATTGCATCTATTGATTGATATTCTCCCCCTTGAATCATTTATTCGGGCATCCTCTGAATAGGAGAAGAATGGATCAAAGGCCGCGACTAGTGGATTGAAAATTTTCTTGTGTAAGAAACCTTGAGAACAGTGAGATTCGTCAATCGAGGGTGGCGGGAACAACAGCGAACTGCATTCTGATCATCTGATCGAGTGCGCCAGTCGTAACGTAGGTACTTCTCAGTGCGCACTAAACACTCGGTTCCTCAAACACCTGCGTCCACGGCGCGGCCTCCCCAAAGTTCGGTGTCCCGTCATCATTACTCCCCACTGGCTGCACCATCGTATACCGGCTGTCATCACACGCGCCCTCGCTATTCGTGGTCGCATGGAAGGCAGTCCACACCTCCGTTCCATCCGGGCTCAGGAAGAAGCTATTATGCCCCGTGCCGTAGTTCCCGTTGCTTGAGTCTAGTAGACATCCATCTGATTTCGTCCACGCACTCGCCTTGGTGGGGTTCGTCGTACCATCCCAGGTCAGACTGGCCAGGCAGTAGTATTGTGTCCAACAGTAGGAAGCGGAGTATACGATTCGCGTCTGGCCGTTTGTGTACAACGCTGCGGGACCTTCCTGCACTGGGGTGCCGTGGATCTCAAAGTCTTCGGTTGGTTCCGAGATGACGGTGATATCGCCTGTAACGGAGATGAAGTCGTCGCCAAGCTTTTGCATGCAGAGCGACTGGTAGGTAACGCCATGGAAGCAGGAGAAGACGAGAAAGTTGCCGTATTCGTTGAAGCGGACGATGGTCGCGTCGATGCCCCATTCTGTTGTTAGCTGGGCGCCGTAGGACCAGGAGTCCCAGGGGGTGCTACCTCCTACACCTCATAGTTAATTATCCAATATTCCTCTCGTTATATGAAGAAATAAGATTGAAAGTGGGGCCATAGGGAAGGGGCTAGATGGGTATCCATACCAGCCAGAACGTGCGACCTCTGTCCATCCAAATTATCCGCAGTCCCAGCGGTGTAATAGATATACCATTTATCGCCAAGATAGTGCAGCTCCGGGGCCCAGTTATTGCAGCATCGCGAGGCGTCGTCGGTTGAATAGACAATCTTCTTTTCTCCGTCCTTCAGACCCTCGATGCTGGTCGCCCGGGTGATTTGCACGTCTGTCCATGTCGTCGTCAGGAGGTAGTAGTATCCACCCGAGTAGACGAGACTGGGATCGCTGCCTCCGGGGTTTCGGATGGGGTTGGTAAAAGCGGAGGCGAAGGCCCCGAAGGAAACGATGGTCTTGAGTAAGGAGGAGATAATGCGTACCATTGTGGCGGTCCGATTCAGTTCGGTTCTTGATGCTGGGTTTATTCATGTAGCGATCGATTCCTCCTCATCTTAAATACATTTCTTCGCATCTTTCCAAGACTGCCCAGCCATTACAGCAACGCGTTTTTGGACAAAAGGCGACGAACCCCGCTGGAAAGTAACCATTCTCATCCATTCGGCCTCATTGTAAGGTGTGGCGTCGGTGGCTGAAGCAGCCTACGGACTATCAATATTCCCCGCAGACCCTCTTGCTCTACCGTATTAATCCACCACTCAGTACTGTTTTCTTTAGCTGAGACGGCCCCGCTTAGTCTACAGCCCGTCCATAAAGAGTTGTTAATTTGATACATACATGTGGTTTCTCCGGGGAGACACTCAGTTGCGGAGCTCCGTTTGAGGCCAAGTCCGGTGGCACGCTCTACGTTTGTGGGCCATGCAGGCTGCTGCGGAGACAAAATCCAGCAAATGCTACCCGGCACGCGGTTGCGGAATTCAGGTCGTCTAGAAGGGTTGCAGACATCTCCAAGGGCCGTGGCGGGAGTGCGGCGAGGCCCGCAGATAGTTTTGCAATAGTGCCACGCGAAATAGGCTTTCTGACCCGTATTTTTGTGACGGGATTGAGTCTTCTCGCGCCGTCTACGAGACGTCGAAAATGCTTGTTATCGAATATTTTATCGTTAAGGAAATTATCGATATGGTAGGCTCGGAGAGCGGCAAAGTCAGCGAGTGCGGTGTCAGGCTTGACGGTCTTTTGGCTGGCGTTGCCAAGGAGTCGTAAGCTCAGCCATGAGGTCAATGACTGTCTTGAAACTGGCCATGCGGATAAATTTTGTAGCGCGCAGTGCTTTTCGCAGCTGCGCCGAACAGAGAGGTAAACGGAACGTGTATTGGCGCTGAGTCCATTCCAGAGAAGTTTTTTGGTGGCCGGCATTGAGCTGAGGAGCTCGTGAAGAGAACCACGCGGGAGGGTCAGAACCACGCGGGAGGTTCAATACCGAGAGGTCCAGCCAATGGCGACGAATGTTAGCAATGTATTCAAGACTTTTGCGTGAGAGCGCGTCTGCTAATGTGTTTTCCCAGCCAGTGTGGCAAGATGTGGATGTTCTCGCCGCCGCTAGGATAAGCAGGCTCTTCAGAGGTGCGTTAGGCGGACCGTGAAGAAAGCCTTTCTTAAGTCTCGAGTGCGCTGTGGAGCTATCCGTGTGGATGACGAGAGTATGATGGAGCCATTGGTGGCTGAAGAGTAGGAAGCCTTGTAGAATAGCGTCTACTTCGTTGGTATGGATGTGCGCATGTGCGTCTTGAGCAAGGGCCAATGTGGCAGCATTGCTTGGATGAAACGAGGCCTTCTGCGGCGGAGGTCGGTCTCCGCTAGATCCAATTCAAGGCGCCTAGCCCTGTCTCTCTGTATATGTCCTAACCAGCTGGCACGGTCTGCTGCACCCCTGGTTTCCCAAATGTGGCCAAGCGGGGTCGAGCGGGGTCGAGCGGGGCAGGAGTGGCTGAGACTGGCTGAACGTCATGGTGCAGAGCGATATAATCAAGGCCTATTGGTGCTGTTGCCGCAGAGAAGGACGTGAAACGAAATCAAGTAATGACTGCGTGAGAAATGACGAGCTACCCGCAGAGGCAAGAAACTGACTCTTGTGAGGCAGTTGTAGGAGGAGAGGCCCTCAGTAATGTCGGTGAGGATATCACGTGAGACAACCCCAATAAAAACACTCCCTTTTTGGAGATGGAATCACATGATCAGGTGGGAATATACAAAACTGTAAACAATGCAAACTATGGATCCATGCCATCAGCAACTTGGACCTATCTGACTTCTATCCTTCCTACTCCAACCCTCATAACTCTTAACAAAATGTTTACGTGCGGCGAATGCGGCAATCGTTACTATTCAAAATTCGAATGTGAAGACCACATGAATGCGTACAACCACTGGTTTGACTGTGAGACCTGTGATCGTGTCTTTATGGACCAGAATTCGTGCAATCAGCATATGCAATCCGCGGATCATTTCAGCGACCGGTACTGTCGAGAATGCAAGAAATACTTCCAAAATGCACACAACCTCCGCCAGGTATCGAGTCAATGTCAACAGATCCATCATTCACAATTTCACTGGCCTCGATCTAGCATTTGAATTCAAGGACGCACCGGGGATCAGATGTCAAATGTCCTTTCTGCAACACCGGATTCGTGACCCATAGTGGCGCGTCACATCATCTGGAGACTGGCTCATGCCCCGGAGCTCCACGTCTCAATCGCGAATCAATCGCTCGTGTCGTTCAGCGTCTCGACACCGCCGGCGTCATCGCCAAGAAGCAAATCGAATGGCATGAGCAGAATGTCGAGTAATTGGCAAATAGCTCCTCGTGGAATGGCGCCGGCTACGAGTGTTATTTGTGCCATCGAAATTACAGAACTCTCCCGGCCTTAAATCAGCACCTCAAATCTCCTGCCCATGCTCAAAAGGTGTATCACTGCCCGAACAGAGGATGTGCGAAGGAATTCACTGCATTGGCCGCACTTTTCAATCACCTGGAGAGCGAGTCGTGTCGATTCATGCGCTTTGAGAATGTTCAGCGTGTCCATAGGCAGCTGACGGACCAAATCACTAGCAACAGACGCATTACCTCGTTCTAAGTCTGGGGAATATCTAGGGTACTTTGTCATCTGCGTGGGTATCTTTCAAACTACGCACCAAGCTGGGCTGGAGTATGTTAGGATATCAATACCAAAATTCAGATTCATTCATGCCAAGGTAGTGCATCAATAGTTACCTAGGTAAAGCTTAAAGAAATGATCAATCGGCTTCATCTAAACCTAGAGCAATATTCTAGCACCGAAGTGGAAATTAGGGAGTACTTCACTGAATTAATTCATCGCGTATAGAGCGAGCTAAGGTAGGGTTACTTTAATTCATTGATTCGAAGTATGCCTCGGAGGTTGGCTGCTATTATTAGTCTGAGGGGTGGTACACTAAGTATTAAATATTAGAAAAATCATGAAAAAAACTGCTGCTATTTCTCTATATAATACGTGACTTGCAAAGTGTCTCGATTGATATGGTGTTCACTATATGAAATTGAACATGGTGGGTGATTCCCACTCAGCTTCCCACGCTGCCTATAGCACACTCACCCTTGTTCCACCGGGTCGCGCGACCGTAAAGCGGCGCTCGCCCATTTCTCACCCGGGCGACACCAACCCGACTATCCGCCGCGTTTAAGCCAGACGCCGGTGAGTTAGCAGTTGGGTGGGTGACCACCAGCGAATCTTCACTGTTGGATGTTTTCGTTTTTGTGTTTCAAAGCCCGTGGAGGGGGTTTCGCAGGTGGTGGTCCTATTCAAGAAGAAAGTCGAGATCTCGGAGAGTTATGGTGGTTAGACGACTGATAATTGAGGGAATCCAGCACGTGTACTTGGGCCCAAAAAGCGGGTCCCTGTATGGTTTGCATTTATTGCAAACTCTGTGTGTGTTTTACATAGCTAGTCACATGATTACTATTCGGTACAAAAAGGGGTAGCTAGTAATTGCGGAGCGTAGCGGAGCAATTATGTTACAGTTCCCCCTGATCACGTGATCTGGATATGTATTGCCAGTACTGGGTCCCATTTCACAGGAATTTCATCTTTTGCGATTTAGCCGGTAGAAAATGGCAGAATGATGTTGCTGCCCACTAGTCCCGATTCGGCCACAACCTCACATTCTGGCCAATCATATGCCCCAAAACACTTAAGGAAAGAAAAGGAAGGTGCACTAAGCGCTGCGCGAGGCAACTGCTATCTGGGGACCAAAGGTCCTCATGATCCCTCGTAATGCGTCATACTTTTCGCACATATTTTGACGGACCTATGCTTCGCTCTCATTGGCCAGGATCGTGCTGACCCGTATCAAAAGAACTGCCGTACTCTCCACCTACTTCCCTTACCTCTTGCTACCTGACAGTACTTTATCTTCGTGGCCCTTCTTTGATCAAAATGGAGCTCAGGTCGAATCATCAATTTGACCCTTTCGGTCCTGATGCAGCAATCTATGACACGCCCGACCCCGCCATCGACAACATAGATTGGAATGACCCCTCATCTTTCTTCAAAGCCCTCAATGCAGGTGGGCCTGGTGGCCTACCGATGCCAGCGTTCAAGTCTCCAGTGGAAGTTCCGAAAGAAGCCACAGCAAGGTCAGAAGGGATATTCACCACGCATGAGACCCTACGTCGGATTCTAGAACGTCACGAGGCCACAATACAAAAACGCTGGCTCAAAAAGACCCGTCAGTAACGACTGAAGATCTTGCTGAATGCCTGGCCCGACATGCCTGCAGTTCATCGGCCTGATTTCGAGGCTTTCCGCAAAGAGACAGAATCAGACCGCGTTCAAGGTACCAAAAAGCGCGCGAGTTTCATTTGACCATACATCAATCAGCAGGACCTTGCGGATACAAAATTGCTCCCCCTACTTCTCAACGCTCGAGGTCGTTACCCACCCTCCGATTTTGCTGCGGCAGACAACAGAGCCATCCATCTCGGTTTTGTCTCCAAGGCAATTGTTCCTATCTTCCTGAACGAACACGTGATGATTTTGAACGGGGTGATCGGTAATAGCCGTGAATATGGGCGACTTGTGAGTTGGCATGATGAGCCGGACGCATTTCAGTGGATGGCGACACAAAAACAATTCATTCCCGGGGAGGGTCTCATCATACTAGAGGCACAAGAGCGTCTTCTCAATTTCCTCGTCCAGTGCGCGTTGGACATCCTCCATGAGTTTCCTAAGGAGACCGCGATCAGTGACACTTTCCCCATTCTCGATGAGCCGCGTCTCAAAACCGAAAGTAAGATCAGTGGGTTTTGAGTCATTGGGGGTGATGGCAGCGGAAGCCCCATACCGTGTGCCGGCGAAATTGGACCTCTCTCGTGTTGAGTCACTGCTCACTGCTCGAGCATCTGCTGCAGAGGATCACCTCTGGGCTTTACGCGAAGATCCTGAATACTTCTCCCGTGTAATCCTTGAGGCCAAGGATCATCGACAAGAAATGCTGAAGGACACTGCCGGCGGTTCTCATCCAGTGTTCCGGCACGGTCAACAGGATATCATCTGGTCACGCATAATATGCCGAGTTGTTTCAAAGGCCTACCTGGAGGTGGAGATGTTCTCCGAACTCAGCATCCAAGCCAGGAACTTAGTCCTGTTGGAAAAGAAATATGCTGGTCAAATAACCCCCTCCGAAGACTTGCCAGAGGAGTACCAAAGTGCATTAATCCGCTTTCGTTACTACGTGAATCAGTTCGTGAAAGAACCACTGGAAACACTCAAACATACAGCAGTAGCATCACCCCCTTTGCGGAAATTATTTTCTCGCGAACCCGCCACCGGACCCGTACTCTTCGATAATTCGAACTATCTCAAAACCCGGAATCAAAAAGGACAAGATAGAAACTCATCTATTATGGCTGCTTCGAATCCTATGGGAGGACGGCAACGACCTTTTTCTCGCGAGTATGAACGTCGTTGTTGATGAACTGGAGAGGCTACTTCAATCAGAACCGCGCGCCCGTGAAATGCTCTCCCCATTTATTAACTCGCTCGTGGGAGATCTTTCCATCCTCTCACAGACCCTGAACCAGTTGGATCTTTATCAGCCATGGGCCCGAGCTTGGGATAATGAGCTTGCTGAACGCGAAGAAGAAATGAAAGATCATTATGCCCAGCGAACCAAGCCATGGTCTCTGATGCTTGGCGCTCTTACCGAGAGAGGACTTTCAATGAGAGCGGCAAAGCTGGTGGATCCCAAAGGCGGAAGGTTCACCTATCCCATCCACAAGCGACGCTCCAAAGAAAACGTGGAGGCATTACGCACAGCTGACGGCAACCTGGATGCATTTTGGGCGGCTATTGACCAACTTGTGAATGCGAAAGCCGGCGACCTGCGCGACACAGCTGTTTATTCCCTGTTTTCCCAGCCACGGATTCTGCAACGTACTCGAGAATGGGTGGAGCCAGAAAGGCCTTCGTCTGCAACCCTCACACATGACAAGAAGGCCGAAGCCTACGATTGGGCCCTGTATCTACCAATCTCATCGACATATTATGAAGCTTCTCCTAAAAGCTGGAGCACCACACAACCGAAAACCAAAATCAAAACTCGCGGAAAGGCACACCCTGCCCAAGACACAGAAGCCGGAATCCCTCAAAAACCGGATCCTGTCGACATTCAGCCCACGTTCTCTGTGGATGCGCGCGCGCTCAAAGTATTTCGCACAATCTTCTTCAATCCAGCAACCACATCTACACCAGGCGAAATTCCCTGGAATGACTTCTTGCATTCTATGGCTTCTGTTGGATTTATGGCCATGAAGCTTTATGGGTCGGTATGGCAATTCCAGCCCACGAAGTTGGATGTCGAGCGAAGCATCCAGTTCCACGAGCCCCACCCGCGGGGAAAGCTGCCTTTCACCACTGCCCGACGCTTTGGGCGAAGACTGAACAGAGCCTATGGTTGGTTTGGAGAGATGTTTGTGATGGAAGAGAAGTGAAGCCATGATTTCTGTGATAGACATGTGATCTCACAGAGAAGCGAAGTTGCTAGAAAAATTGAACCCATTTAGAGAATAAGAGGTTGAAAAGCCACACGCCGGTCAGTCAGGAAAGTCGAGATCTCCGAGAGTTGTGATGGTTACACGACTGAGAAATCGATGCCCCAGGCATCACACTGTCAACTGTAACACTTGGAAGACCAAAAAAGATAATATCCTGCCTAATTTCCAAGGTCATATGCTAGTTATCATTGCTGAATATTCCACCTTTGCGCCTTGACTTGGAAATAGGCCTTTGTTCATTTTCGCAATCGGCGGATCCTGCCCTTTATTTTAAGCGTGAAAGAAAGTCTTTGTGCAGTAATAAATGTAAGAAGGCCAATCCCTTAGGCTTGGGCCTGGATACTACAAAAGGATGCCAAACAAAGGCTTCCAATTCGGCCATTGTACTAGTGATGGGTCTTTGGACCCGAGTCCATGGGTGGTTGCTATAAGAATATCCTCTCAGCCCTAAATGCACCCCTTGAAGTTGATTTCAGACCAAAAACTCTGGAAGTACCAAGCCCCAAGAACCTTTTTCATCGCAGTCATGACTCTTGTAGGATTAGGTATCAATCTCGATGGAAAACCCGGCTCCAATGGATCCGGCGGACGTCAACAACATCGACATGCTCCAAATGGCTCCAGTGGACACCGCCAATATCGAGATGCCACACATGTTGAACGAGATATAGATGAGTCGCATCCGCATGACCGCCTCGCTCATCGCGATCATCGCAACCACGATCAGCACGATCATTCCGACCACAGTAGTCATCGCGATCATCATGATCAACGCGGCCACGACGGTTATCGCAGCCAGGTCCATGGCGACCATAGGGGTCATCGCAATCATGGCGATCATCAAGGCCACAACAGTCATCGCGATCATCACGAGCATCACAGCCACATTCATGGTGATCACCGGGATCATGGCGATCATCAAGATCATCACGCCCGCGACGGGTATCGCGATCATCACGAGCATCGCAGTCAGATTCATGGCAATCACCGCGATCATCGTGAGCATCGCAGCAAGATTCATGGTGACCACCGCGGACATCATGAACATCACAGCCATGGCTACCGTGATCATCCCCGTCATCGTCATCCCTATAGTTATCATTAGATATCAAGTAAGCTCCTTATATATCTGTACACATTATTCATTCAATTTCACTTACTTAAGTAGGTACCATCTCTCGCTTTTATGCAGGACCTGTACTGGAGATGTACTTAAGTAGACTTGAAACTTTCCCTACCCGTACCTCCGTTCAAAGAATTATTTCACATGTACTCATGGCAGCAAAAAAACAAGAGGTTCGCGAGTAAACGAACAGATTTATACTTATTGAGTGTCTCATTTGTCACGGGGAGTAAGTGTTTTGGCCACTAGAACAATCGTCTACTTAGTACCTCATGCCAAACAGTAGGTGATGAGGCACCTGTAGGTACCATATAGCAAAGCTTAGAATCTATTTTCTCATTCCCGAGCTATGCTTTCTTCAAGAAATAACACAATCATTTGACAACTACACGTCGAGTGGCTGAATATGTGAAAGGCTGGGGCGAGTCCTATATTGATTCTGACCAAGCCACAAACCACACGAAAGGCACAAGGGAAACATGCGGAAGATGAAAAAAAAAAAAATGACGACCTGGGAGATAATCGAGATGGCGGATCAGAAATTAGCAAGAAAAGGCTCTATTAGCAAAAGGCAGGTCAGTAGGGATTCATAGCAGCAATCCTTGAATGGAACAACGCACAATCAGGATTGTCATGAATTGGTCAAGGTTCGCCAAAGTTCAGATGTGGTCCACCCTCCTTCATCCCCCCCTAGAATCCATACCGGCCAAGAAGAAGCACACCACCATCTAGGCTAGTAGGTTCTCCGATTATCTGATCCCAGCCATGGATGAAGCCTTGTGATTTTCACTTGGGACACTCTCCTTTCACATAATCAGTGTGCCCCGCACATTCTGCAAGGCAAGAATTTCCGTATGTTGTGGTCGTGCCATTCGACACACACACTGGATCATATTGCTGCGTGCAGATGCACGCAGCTTGCGCCATGCCTGTTGCGAGAATCGCAAGGAAAAGCGTTGAAATAAGTTGCATTGTTGCTGTGCCGTATAATTCTTCTGTCAGCGATAGAGTTCAAATGAAATATCTATAGCCATAAACCTGGGCAGGCCGGATCGAAGTGATATTCATACATGTTAAAACTGATTTAGCCTTGAGCGGATAGGTGGCGTTCGTGTCTGAAATTGATGAAACGAAAAAAAGGATTGGCAGAAGACAAAAGGAATTGAGATTCAGAAGTGGGAACGAAGAACTAAATACAAAGTAAGGAGTACGCAGAAATAAAAAAACGGTCCATTTTCTGCCCAGGCGCGACTTTGATCACAGAACCTTTGATGTTATTCCACTCATGGGTGAGATCGCCCGTTCCCAAGCTAGGCTGAGACAAGGAAAGCCGGGTGTGGGGGACCCGCCGCTATGATCTGCAATCTGTAAACCAATCATAACAGAGCTCTATCAACAGTACCACTGTGTCCTCGTATAAAAGTCTTACCAGCCCCCACTTTATGGGATGTGTTCCTGAAAAGTTCGATCAAATGGGTGGCCTGAGTGGGTGGCCTGGGTGGCCTAATGAAAGAAACCCACAAACAAGGATGAGTTCGGTAGGGACTACGGAACACTTGTAGTTGATACAGAACTTTTACACAGGAATACTCCTTACGTACGAGTATGGGCTACTACGTTCGGTTAACTATGAGGTGCTGCTGGACTTTTGAATCATCGTCTTGTTTTTCTTTTCTTTCTTACAGATTCAAGAACATGTCGATCAAAATCTACTCGTATACGGATTCAGCTCTGGGGTGTGGTGTTTGCCTCAGCCCTAGCGCCAAGTCTGCAATCAGCTCACACGCTCACCTGGGCACCCACTCTCCCCCGTCTCACCTCTTTTCTCTTTCCCCACAATTATATAGTTTGGTCCCCTTTTTCTCTCCCACAAAACCCCATTGGATCAACAGAACCCATGCCCATTCATTCCTGCAGTGATAACCAGAACGAAGGCTCTGTTCTGACCATCTCATTCTCTTGGGGGGCTATCGGAGATTTTGCATTCATTTCCAGCTGCGATGCGTCGTGGATTAACTTAGCCCACCGTGATGACGAGAAACCGTGATCGAGGTTGCATGAGCCCCATGCAGTACAAATGGAAATGTTCATGCACGGCGCACAAAGCTGAGTTCGATTGAGAAATTCTTATCTGATGGGGAAAAAAGGGGGTCCCATTTGATATATGTAATGACTGAGTCTGGGAAAAGGAGAACAAAAAAAAAAAGGAAAAACCTATTCCCCACTGTTAGAGATATCAGTTGACCCGAAGAATTTACTGCCTCGGATTGTTTTAATAGTCGACCTCGAAGCTGTACTTTGGATCATAATGCATGGCCCAATAGTCATCCCAGATCGTTTTGGTGATAGGGCCAATCTGGCCATCCTTGACCGGTTTGCCATCGAGACGAGTGATCGGCATGATACCACCAGCCGTGGTGCACATAAATATCTCGTCTGAATGGTACGCGAGGTTGAGCGGCACGACCTCAAGGTGAATTTCGATTCCTCTGGCGCGCGCAACGTCGAAAACACTCTTCCGCGTCACGCCTCCCAGAACACCACGGTCAGCTGTGTAGAGAGCGCCATCTTTAATGACACATATATTGAAGCCAGACCCTTCTGTAAGATTCGTATCACCGTCGGCAAGGAAGGGATAGTCTGCGCCACGATCGTTTGCCTCAAACAAGCCTCGTGTCAAGTCTCCCCATTGCAAGTTTTTGATGGTTGGATCGAAGGCACCTGGAGGGGTTCGCCGCACTGTGCGGGCAATGATAGAACTGCCTCCAGTGTACTGCATGTCGGGCGGCATGACCCATACTTATGGCATCACGATCAGGTACAGGGTGTTGTTGAGAAGATCCTCGGGCTTATTGCCACGAACGCCTTTCATTCCACGGGTGACAATGAGCTCGACAAAAGCATCACGGATACCGCTCTTAGCTAGCATCTCCAATAGGGTCCGCTTCACCTCTTCTCTGGGCAATGGAATCTTGAGTCGCATCTTGATGCAGCTGGCCTCTAGCCGATTGAAGTGATCGTCGAGGCGAAAGAACCGTCCGTCCCACACCGATGGAACATCGTATGTCAAATCGCTGTGCAGGAACCCTTCATCAAGTAGAGGGATGCGGGCATTGGCCAGCGGGACTAGCTCCCCATCAATAAAGGCTACTCCGTCCGCAAATGGATTGTCTTTTTTGTCGAGAATGACCTTGCGTTCGTTGTAGCCCGAGAATACTTTGTCCATAGTCGCCATGTTGAATGTGTACTCAAGCGAAAATCAGATCGTGAGATTGATAGATCTTTCTGATGTTCTAGTTTAAAAGCAAGATGAGCATATGAAGGCTAGGATCGGTTATACGGTTAAGATGAAATACAGTATGCTGGACGGATGATGCAATGACGTTTCAGACCCAAGTCAATGATTCGATCACTCGCGAGTTGACTTGATACAGTGGACCCAGAAGGGGCAGTGAGCCATTCACGATGCAATGGGACGCTCCCAGAAGACAGTCGACGCTTTGAGAAGCTCTGCAAGCGTCATTGGCCATCTGGTACACAGGCTGTGCTCCTGAAGTCTACTTGGCACACGTGCCAACCTTGATTTACGACACAAACTTGGATCTTCTTTTGTGGTCTATGATATATGATTCAATAAGATCGACATGGTCTTGGAAATGAGTTGTGCCAGGTGCTCGGGTGTAAATTTGCTATGACTGTCTTCTGATCACAACTTCGGAGCAGGGATATGCAGAGCGTGGACTCACAAGGAAATCCAAGATGGCACATAAGGGGTTCATGATACAGAAACGGCCGGTCACTGGCCACCCGGGCGTTGCGTGGGTAGCGAAAGCCACAAAGCCAGACAAACCAAAAGCATTGCAAGTACAGCGGGTTGAAGGACCTCGATCCCAAATATCTCCGCAGTCGCCCCAGTAATAAAAGGGAAAAGGCAACCCCCGGCGCTTCCTAACGCGCAAGCAAAGCCAACGGCTGCAACATGGAGATATTTTGGCAAAAGCTGTGCTTGAGCAATAACCGCCTCCGGGTAAAGCGGGCTAAGGAAAAATCCAAGGAGGGTCACGGTGATGGCCGAAAGACGGAGATCCTCGACGAAGCAGAAGGTAATATGTAAGGAGATACATGCTCCCAAGTAGACAAGAACTGCCAGTCTCTGTCTGTGGAAGTAGGGTGTGAGGAAACCAAAGCAGACGCGACCAACAGTCAGTCCTGCCCAGTAGGTGAAGGTTACCACTCCTGCCACGGCTGGTGGTGTATTGCGGAGGTCGACGAGGAAGGTGAAAATCCATCCACCCATCGTGACTTCGACTCCGACGTAAACCAAGAGGAAGAGACTTATAATCCATGTTGAGGGTAATCCCAACGACTCCAATGTCGGGTTCCTCTTGACTTCGGGGGTGTCTGGAGTATCGGGCGACTCACTGTCGTCTTCATGAGGGTCAGGCTGCTGGGTATTCGGTACTGACCCTGTCGCTGACCAGAATGCTGTGACCGAAGTTGCGAATTCAAGCGCAGATGCAAGGGCCATGAGGTAGTAAAATTCATACCACATCCAACCTCTGCTGACGATGACATAGGTGGCAGTCAAAGGTGCCAGAGCGGCCCCAAGTCCATAGAATGCATGCAAAATCCCCATTAGCTGGCTACTATTGTCCATAGCACCAATCCACGCGTTCCACGACGCATCGACGATTCCGTTTCCAAGGCCGGATAAGATGAATATACCAATAAGGACAGGGTATGGTGGATGTTGCGTGGCAGCAAGATATGAAATTGTGTGCATTCCAGTGCCTATAATTGCAATGCCACGTTGTCCGAATCGCTCGTGGATCCAATGATTCTCCAATGCAGCGGCCGCATACCCGATGAATGGTGACAGGAATACCACTGAGACTGTTGTGTAGTCTGCGTTGTAGTATTTGCCTAACTGAAAGAACAGAAGAGAGAAAGAGTCAGTTCTGGGTCACGAATTCGTACCGGCCAGAGAATTACTGGATCAACATACATAGTGGATCATGGCCTATACGCAGCAGTTCGTTAGCAAGATAAACCGGATATTTTCACTCTCGTATGTCTTACCCCATAGGCGCCATCGTTTGCTCCGACCACGATGAAGCTGTAGAAGGTAGCCAGAACGCGCCAGAGGTTGACCCGAGGCTTATTCCACTTCTCTGGCTGACGCTCCAAAATAAGGTGACCATCCTCGACGGTGTGACTTTCGTCTTCTCCAAAGCTCTGATAAGTAGTATGGATTGGATGTTGCGACTCAGATAGCAGAGGTGTTGTAGAATCCGAGTTCTGGTTTGTTTCCCGCATTTTCTTTTCCCTTCCAAAGAGCGGGCAGGTGGATTCGAACAACTAAAACACTTTTGTGATGCAGAAAAAAGTCAGCAGTATGAAACTCAAAGAGAAGAGGAGAAGGAAGAGCGAGAAAGCGAGAAAAACATCGAGAACGAGGGAAGGAGAGTTTGTCCAGTCTATCCGCATCTGTCACCCTTGCAGCGACTCAAATGTTTCAGGAGAAAAATGGACAGTTCATGACATTACTAATACGCACTGAGGTATTAACTGAGAGTGGATTTTCTTTGCCACTTCTTACTCGTAACTTTACTGCATTGTTGGTCCTCACGTCTTACCGCGTTTGATCACACAGGCCGAGCTCCACCTCAGCTGCCGGATCCATCTAGCTGTGGTTATCAGGTATGTCGACGATCCTCCAGAGAATGCACCATACTCGTACTATGTACATGCACATGTACCCCAGTCTACATGCAATCGTCCATTCGGCATTTTTTAGTTACATCAAATAAGGGTTGGCGTTATCAATGCCGCGATCGATCCTGTTGGCTGTTCCGTCAAGCCGGGGCAGAAATGCACAGTATAGGCACTTTTACTCGGCGTTGATATTCCAATGCAACGTTGCTACATAGTTTGAGTTGCAATGCACGTATTAACTGTCTTTCTCTGCCCATACATGGTCCCTGGGCCCACTGAACCGGAAATGGGGTTTATATCAGCTTCCGCTATAGGCCAGAGTTTTTACAAGACGCATCAAAAACAGATAATTCAATCGAACCATATTCTGTAAGCAGTTTCTATATCGTCTTTCCTACCTTGGGGGTAATTCTGGGACCCAAGTGTACGTCCTGCTTTTGTTCATCTTGAGCAATGAAAGATCGGTCTTTGGGAAATGGAAAACCATTGACCTCTTCGGTATGGACCGCCATCGACGCCAAACAGCATACGGCCAGCCGCTCACAGCACACAAAATAGTTGAAAAAACAACTAACAGTCACCACTGAAATGAGGCCGTGCATCGACTTATCGCTAGACCTTCAGATCTTGTATCCTCTGGCCCACGGATTTGGGTTTGTGTATTCCTTTTTCGATGTCTCGCATCGAGTCAAGAATCGAGATCCAGTTGGTGAAAGGAACAAATTTGATCTCTTTTTGTTCGCAATACGTCACTAGATCTGAAGTGTCGGTCAGTTTTGAGGATCATTCACCGTGGCGGGCAAGGGATATATTGGACTGATTGTGGTAGGAATCTGCCGATGCATCGGACAAATCCTGAAGTCGCACTCACCCAAGCACTCATTTGCAAAAAGGATTTCGGTTTCCGATGCAGCAGACAAGTCAGAAACACCGTCTCGTGCATACAAAAGTAGAGGACGATGCTGATCTGGCAATGCGCCATACGGCTTTATCTCCAACGACTTGTCGTGGCCAAACTCGCTGTGATCGTAGTTAGTCCAGTGGCAGGGATAGACTGGAGGATGATAGTTGAGGCTATCCATACCTATCGTCGCGATATTTGATGCGCCACCCACACTCTCCGTTGATATCCTTACCATGACGAGCCTCGACATCGTTTGCAATGACAAAGATGTTTTCAGGCTTGCTACCGCGCAAAGACGCCAATAGTGAAATTATAACGGGTGTCATTCCCGAGGAGAGGATGACTATCGGAACATTGTGCTCTTTCGCCCAGATGTAGAAGTCGAGGAAATGCGGATCGAGTCGAACGTTCTCCTGGATTATACGAAGGCATTCATCGAATGGAAGGTGCACACTATCAAGCATGGCCTGAAATGCATCCCTGTTCACTTTAGTATTTCGTTAAGAAATATGATTATTGCAGATATTCACGCATATTCACGGCTTACCTGAACGTCATATTCCCTTTCAACAATTCTAGCTCGAGAATACGCCGTAACTCGACTCCGAAACCGAAATTGTCCACCTTTGGATGTGGTGAGCGATTAGAAACGGGCGAAGGCGTTGGGTACATACCAAGTGATCGTTGCCTAAATAGAAATCACGTCAGTAACAAGACTTCAGAAATCAAGGGACATGTGAAAAGGGATAAAGAAAAAAAAAAAGCGAAAACATGAATCACCCACAGTCGTCCAATGTGATTGTTCCGTCGAAATCCGTGAAAAATATGGCTTTGGGGCTGGTTTTCATGTATGGGAGACTTGCCTCCGCCGACTCCCAATTCTGTCTCATGTTTGCTGATTGTCCTTTTCCAGCGGAGAAATCTCAATTAAACACCCTCAACACTCCGATAGACAGATGGTTGCTTATAATAATATGAGCAATTTTATTGATTGCAGCCCAATCAGGAATTGAGAAAGACTGCTCCCATGAACGGATCTCGTCGAATAGGAATAATGCAACCGGATACGTTGTGTAACTACGAGTAGATATGAGCTGCAGCCACTTCGACCAACCAGCGATTCCCTCAGTGTCTGATGTAACAGCAAGTACAGGTGAGGCGCATTCAAATGCATCTGCCATCGGCTCTTGTGCTGCTTTTCCGTCTTTGAACTAGTCTACACGTTATGAGGTGGATCTTGAGTGGCTTAGGAAAAATGCTGGCTGCCAATCTCGATTCCTTACGATGACGCAAGGGATCAGTAAATGGCTCATACTAGCGAGTGTGATGATGGCTTGAGGACCTGAGAGCGGCCCGGTCCTCAATAGATAAAATACTACGGTATATTTTGAAAACAGGGGTTCCAGACGATCCATTTCACTCTCGGCCCGTGCCTACATTTTTTGACGTGCCGGAGAATGCACCTCAATGTCGTGGAGAATGCTGATTAAGTTACCGGGCGGGAGCTAAACCGTAAAGGGTTTAGGGTGAGGCCGGGTACGGGCCGTTCAAGAAAGTGTAAAGTGTAAATTAATTAATTGTCTTCGGGGGAATCAGTGTTCGAAGTCGAGCAATCTAAACATCAGCGAGATGAATGCCTAAGATGAGAATGTGAGCTGTCGGGTGAAGATAGGTGCATCAAACTTTCACGGTAGCAGAATTTGAAAGTTGCCATCCAGATTCCACACTGGACACACGGTCTTGTTGAGCTCTTCAGGACACATCATTGGTTCAGAAAAACGCGTAATTCCTAGAAAATCCGACCGACATTGGAAAATCGGTTTCAGCTCTGTAGGTTCTCAGACGGAAAGAGATGTGTTTACTCGTAATGTTAACTACTCGGTGCTATTACATGTTTTCGAAACGTTGCATTGGGACCGGCGTATCCGCGGCGTAAGGTAAATATCTTGTGCCAATTCGTGAATTTCTGTGTAACATGATCCTATTTTCATCATCAAGCTGCTCTAGGAATATCTTAGATGCGTTCAGCAACTCAACAGAATTGCAATTGATACTAGGTTTCGCATATAACTTTAGAAAGCTTTAAATTTAATAGACACAGAGCTTCTCGGCTATCTTTTCCAACCAAACAAGTTACTTCCAGTTCAAGCAAAATTGGAAGCATTTCAGAGCCAGCATATCTTTACAAAAATGTTGTCCATGACGCATCTATCTCTCCTGTCAAGTCGGCCAAAGGAATCTACACCACCCTTGAAAATGGGCAACAGATCTTAGATGCCACCGGCGGAGCTGCCGTATCGGCCATTGGGCACGGCGTGGACCGTGTCAAGAAGGCAATCGTTGCGCAGCTTGACCAAGTGGAATATGCCCACCCAGGATTCTTCCCCAATGCCCCGGCCATTGAGCTTGCAGATATCCTGGTCCGGTCGACGGGCGGCAAGTTGTCTCGCGCCTGTATTCTCGGATCTGGTAACATACCACCCGTCCCACCTTTGCATTCCCCAGGCTGGATGGGAGCTAATCAGAGAGTCATATAGGTTCCGAGGCAGTGGAAGCCGCAATGAAGCTTTGTCAACAATACTTTGCGGAAAAATCGCCCAACTCCGCCCGGAGAAATTTCATTTCTAGAAATGGCTCCTGGCATGGTTGCACATTGGGTGCTCTTGCTTTGGGTGATCTCAAAGTGAGGAAGACTCAGTTCCAATCGATCTTACCCACCAATGTCTCCCATGTTTCGGCGTGCGACAAATACCACGGCCTCAGGGATGGAGAAGACCTAGACGCGTGTGACGCGGCGGGCTTCGGAAGAAGGTCCATTCACTAAAAGAGACTAAAACTAGGGAAAGAAAGGAGAAAGGGAGCTACTGGGAGAATTTGGGAGGGTTGGGTTCCCGGGTTCGGGTGTGGATGCCTCACCCCCCAGGCACCCAACCCCCCGATTCTCACACTACCCCCGCTCAAAAATCGAGCTCAGCCCCTGAGCTCCGCCAGACCATCCATTTTAGGAAACATATGCCAGTTCTTCCTTGATCGTTTAATCGGTTTCTTTATTACGTTCTTTGCTTAGTAGGAGGTTTTATGATCTTAGTATTAGATTTAGTTAAACGGTTATTCTCGGAATGATCTTCCACTTCTTTATTGTTTAAAGCCTTCTCTACTTAATAATTCAACTATAGTAGCAGCCTCGGCTTCTTTGAATATTCTTTATAGAACTTTATCATCTTCTGTAGTATGTAGCATATATTTTTTGTAGAATACTATATACTATTGGGATTATTGTTTTCGAATTATATTTTGTATTATAGTTTGTTATAATATAATTATATATTTAGAATATACTCTATATTATATTTATTTTTTCTATTAATCTTTATAGATAAAGATAGATTAATATATTAACTAACTAATACTTCTTATTTTAGATTATTTACTAACTATAGTTTTTCTAATATAAAGATTAGATAAATATTATATTTTAAAAGAAATTCTAATCTAAAGAAATAATTAATTTATTTAATAATCTGAAAAAGATTTATATTATAATCAATTAACTTCTTACTTAGTTATTTCTACTTTAGTTTTTTTAAAATAAAATAAATATAATCCTCTATATTAAATTTTATTAATTATTATTTCTTATTAGTCTACTTCTTTTGCTATAACTAAACTATAACTATCTTTTTATAGATATTATTCTAAACAACTTCTATTCTATATACAAAGTTTGTTATGACGATTTTGTTCTTTATAATTACTTTTTTTGATATCTACTAATTAAATAATATTCTAAATTTATATTTTTATTTTATATAAAATAGAGATTTATTTATTAATATTAATAGAAGTAAAGCTATTATTAGATTTATTAAAAGAAATTATTTTAATTAGTTATTTTAATAATAGCTAATATATAGCTATAGCTACTATATAATAATCTAATTTACTATTTTTATTTAGTTGTTAATTTATAAATATTATATAGTAGAAAGTTTTCTTTTAATCTTTAGGATTTAATAAAATTCTTATTAGAATTTTAATATAAACTATAAATCTTTATTTAATATAATAGAATTAAAAAGATCTATTTATTTTATAATATAATTAATGAATAGCTTTATTACTTCTTTTATAATAATTATTTTATAATAAAGGATTAATATTAATTATTTTGATAAATAATAAATCACTACTATTATATTATTAAAATTATATTTATTAAAAAATAAAAAATAAAAATCTATAGTAATATACTATTAGGATTTATTTAAAATAAAAAATAGTTATAATAATTTTAATAGAATATCTTTAAATATTTTAGTTCTTTTATAAATTTAATAATAATCTATATATTATTATATATCTTCTATTATTCCAAACTAATAGTAGTAATTAAATAATATTTATAGAAGTTTTTTTATATTGGGATAAACTATAATAGATTATCTATAGATCTTATTTAGTAATTATATTTGTAGATTTCTATTATTAACTATTATTAGTTTTTTATTATATAATAGGAGATTATTTTAAAAGATTTAATGTTTATCGCTATTATAGACTTTGTTTTAATAATCTTTAAGGTTTTCTTCTGTAAGATTTATATATTTAATATAATTAATAATATTTATTATATATTAGTTAATAATAATAATAGGAAAAGAATCTATTAATTAATCTTTTTTTTTTACTTAGTATTTATTTAGAAGTAGAATATTTAACTTCAAATTATTTTTTTTAATAATATCTTTTCTAAAGAATATATCTACTACTATATTTAGTTTCTTTAGTTAATATTAGATTTATAGTCTATATTATTTTAATAATTAATTCTATTAGATTTGTTATATATTAAACTTCTTTTTTATTTGAAACTATTATAATATTTAGTAGTTAGTAAATATTTAGAAAGAGTCTTTTTATTATAAACTAATTAGTTCTGTTTTTTATTATTTTAATATATAAATAATTGTAAGTAATTTTTTATTGTGAATCTTATATTTCTATTTTATAAGATTTATAATTTTAGATATATAGGCTATTAAATATTATCTATTAATATATTTTTGTAAGAATACTATATTAATTACTCTATTAGAAGTATTAGATTCTAATCTTATTTCTATATTTAGGTTATAGTATACTAGTATAGATGTTGTTATTAATTGCTTTTTGAGCTCTTTGAATATTATTTGATATAAAATGTTCTAATTCTATAGAGTGGTTTTTTTAATTAAATATATTAGTAGTTTTATAATATGATTATAATTCTTAATAAATCTTTAATAGAAGTTATAGAATTTAAAGAAAGATTATATATTCTTTATTGTTATAGGTTTTTTTTAGTTTTATATAATTTATATTTTCTTTAGATTAATAGAGATTCTTTGAATCCTTACTAAAAAGCTAAGGAATTTAATTTTTTTAATATAGAATTTATATTTGCTAAAACTAATCTATAAATCTGTTTTCTACAAATATTTTAAAATCTTTCTAATATATTTAATATATTCCTTTTAGTTCTTATTATAAATAAGGATATTATCTATATATATAGTAGTATATTTATTTAAATAGTTGTTTAGAATAATATTAGTATATCTCTAGAATAAAGTAGGACTATTTATTACTTCAAAAAGTATTATTTAGTATTTATAAGAATTATAATAGATTCTAAAAGTTATAAAATCTTTGGAATTAGGATTTATTTAGATCCTATAGAACCCTTAGTAGATATTAAACTTAATAAAATAATATATTTTGTTTATTTATTATATAAGTTTATCGATTAAAGATAAAAGATAAATATTCTTCTTTATTAATTGATTTAATTTTTAATAGTTAATGTAAAAATGTAAATCTCTATTAGACTTCTTTATTATTAAAATTAAGA